GGGGTGGACGGGGTGGACGGTGGTGGCCAGATGACTATTCGGAACCCCCATTGCCAGTGACTATTCAGAACCCCCTATGGTCAATGACTTTTCGGAACCCCCCATTGCCAGTGACTATTCGGAACCCCCTATGGTCAATGACTATTCGGAACCCCCCATTTCCAGTGACTGTTCGGAACCCCCCATTGCCAGTGCCTATTCGGAACCTCCCATGACCAGTCGTTGACAGGAGCCAGGGAGCCTGACAAGGTGGAAGAGGAGGACGGGGTGGACGTGGTGGACGGGGTGGATGTCGATACCTCTCCGCGACCGCAAGGCAACGATGCATAATGACCAGCGCAGCTCCAATCTTTCGCCTTGCCGAACCCTCAATCTGAGTGACAGGTCCGTCCGCGCCTAACGTGATCACGGTCTTGCCACCGCAGCGGCCGATCAGTTTGCTTCTGCTGCAAGAAGACTTGGGAAGTGATCATGTCATGTGTGGGTGGTGATGGGGGCGCGAGCGAAGTTTCAAGGCTCAAGGCTAGTCGACGCACGGACAGCTCAGCGGCAAAGTCGCCCTCTGCAGTGACGAAGCATGGGGCGCACGTGTTAGTTAGTGCTCTGGAATTCCAAGTGCAGTATGGGATGAGAGCACCAAGGGGATAGCAGTGGAGCTATTGGAAGATTGGCGATGTTGTGTCATGGGCGCGTTTGTTGTGAACCATACTAACTCCTGGCCTGTCATCGCTTGTCGCCAAGGCGTTCGAGATAGTGTCACAATTTGCATAGTAATACATGGTTTCTATGGCTCCTTACTTCTCCTCCTTGTCGTGCAGAAGCTTCTCGACCAAGGCCTCAAGCGCAGCAAATGCGGTTGCCGTGTCCTTTGACTTGGCGTTCCACGTTGTTGATCTTGCTGTGGCGCTTCTCCTCGCTGAACGCCTTGAGAAGAGCTCGCGCGGTGGTGATGACGCCAGCCAAAGAGCCTACCGTCGAGAATGACTACAACGCTTCCTCGGTCGCATCTCGCGTCGCCTCAGTGGTGCCAAGCGTGGCGACCAGCTGTCCAATGGATCCAGTAGCCACGGCGACGCCGGCACGGGCCATGTTGTCTCCGTGAGAAGCAACACTCGCCAACACCCAGTCCAAATTGTTCAGCGTTGCCAGAAGCACCTCGGTGAGGGCCGAGGGAACGAGCTCTGTCGCGTGACCTTGGTGTACGGCGGCAGTGACCTCCTCGATCGACTCCGTGAGAGTTGCGGACGTCCACGGGGTCGAGCGGCCCCTCCAGGTTCACCGGCTTGACAAGATCGTTCATGGTTCCGACGAGGTTCAGGAACGATTCGCACAGGCCACCCAAGCGAGTCAGAGGAAGCGCCTCGATGTCGATCCTGGGAGGCACGGCAATCGCGGCCGGCTTGTGACCTGAGAGCCGTGGTGGTGACGACCATGATGGACCGGCCTCGGCAGCGCGGTATGTCTCCTGGCAGGAAGACAACCATGAGCAGAATACTGCCCTTTTGCTCATGCTTCGAGTATGTAGGTCGTGTTGACGATACGCAAAGTTGAACGAAGCGTCGCCCTCGACCTCGATAAAGACAACGACGTGCTGGGGCGCAAAGGACCAGGTTGTGATGTCACTCGAGCTTTCATCGGAAACCCGGACCCAGATACGCTTTTTGAGCAGTTCGGGGTGCTTGTCGAATTGCGCAACAGGGAGGGGCAGGGAGATGTTGCTCACGGACTCGTGTGTGGGACCGAGACGCTCGTGGATCTGGGCGCGAATGTCCTTCGACGAATCCCCCTTGAGGAAGACGAGTTCTCCTTTGCGAGCGGTGAACTGTTCGTCAGAATGGAATGTCATGTCACCTATCGACTGTCAACTCACCGCTTTCATCCCGCCCAGCATCTCATGGAAGATCCTGCTGCTCTCCGTCCATCGTCCGTCGGTCTTCTGAGCGTCAGCGAGCCTTACAACATCATGTGTGAGCCCCATGATTGCTGTACTCACGTCCTCAGCTGTGGGCAGCTGCTCGCCCCTTGCGGATGACCTCAGACCTTGGGGCATACTGAATGCGCGCCGGGTCTTCGAGACTGGAGAGGACGACGGCTCGGCCCGTTTCGCAGTTGACAGGGGAGCGGGTGTCTTGGGTGATGAACGAAAAATACGCGACACTGATGGGGTTTGTGTTGCCCTGCGGGGTGTGAGCGGTGGCTGAGGTCGAGGACCCGACGTTTTCACGAGGGACCACACCGATGGGCGCCGAGTGTTCGTCAGCGAACGTCTGCACGCTAGTTAGTCTCGAAGACGAGGTCGGTGTATAAGTGCGAGAAGCAAGTGAAACTTACACTGCGCTCCGCAGGGGGGCGCGGCAGCTCGGGATGCGACGCGCTCAACGCCGTCGCGCGTCCTCTTTTCAGTGGTGTCTTCATGGTGTGCGGGCTTGATATCCTTGACCGTAGGGACTGGTTGATGCACTGGATGAAGCGTACGAGGGGCTGCCTGGCAAGTCCGTGGTTGCAGGGTAGAGCCTAGAGTAAGGGAGGAAGGTTGGTCGCTCAAGTCGAGATGTCGATGTGTCGCGGATGGCGGGGCGGGAGCACTGCTTAGGCATGCAACTTGCAGAGCAGACGTGCTAGGCGTGGAGGCTGCTGGAATTGAGAAGGAGTGCAAGCGTGTAGGGCGCGGTGGGAGGGGGAGGGGAAGGGGCGCGATATTCAGCTACCGGGTGGTCACCCCGCGGCGTGGTGGACTGAGGGACCAATACCGAGGAACTAATCCAGAGTGGCCATTGATCGATGTCTAGCCTCTTTGGAACGCAGCGTCACTTTCACAACTACGAACGAGAGCTGAGGACAGTGATTTTATGCTCACTTGGAACTCCTAATGATGCCTGTTGGTTCATTGAGAATGAGCATGCTTCGTTAGTGAAGCAGACAGCTGAGCGTTCCAATCGCTCAATCCCCCTGGGCCCACCTGTGCGTGCACCCCCTGGTCAATCGATGCACGATGGTCAAGGTGTTCTGGCTCAACCTATGCGGCCCCGCCAAAAGAATCTGCCTTTCGTCACCTGCCATCTGACGAGCTTCGTGATGAACTACAGAATACGGCCCCTCATATGTGTGGTGCTGAACATATCGCTTGCGGATGGCTAAGCTCTCATGAGAACTCGGAGCTTGGGCCACCATCCCTATGTTGAGCCACAACATTACTTCTCGCATATGCAGGGGACTTCTCGCGTATGCAAGGGGGAAATCTCGGATTGGTGCACTAAGGCGGATGCAGCGAAACCGACGGACCCATCGATCGAGATCCCCTGAGAAGGCCTTCATACCAAGCGGCAACTTGAAGGCGCGCGGGGACGGGGCTCAACCTTGTCGGATAGGATTGTGGGTGGCGGCAGGTCGCGAGCAAGCTAGTGAAAGTCTCACGAGACGTGGCCCAGCGTGTACACGCTATGAGTTCCTCACCAGCAACGTCAAGCAGATCTTACAACTATGCATACTGTACAGAACGAATCCAGGCCCTCCACTCCTATAAATCTCCTACGCAGGACGACCCTTCAGCTTGCCGTTTTTGTACGGCAGCGCCCTGGCCAGGGCCTGCCCGGCAGCCTTGCTCTCCGCGCGCTTGCGCACCTTCTGCAGCCCCTCCTCGTCCGCCTTGTACCGAGCTGCAACATCGAGGAACATTAAGAAAAACCACCATTGATTGTAAGCGGTGGATGGCAGATCTGATTCGATGTACGTGAAGTAGATCTTGTCAGTTTGAACGCTCTTGATTGTCACACGGATCTTGTCGGCACGGAGAGGGGCGGCATTCCAGAGGTTACCTCCCTCAAGGTCCGTCAGGAGTACACCGACGGTGAGGCCCCCCTTGAAAGCAGCGGTCATCTTCGAGCGAGGAACAGGGAGAGAGACAGCCGACGGCGTATGCTTCAGATTGGCAAAGTCGGCGATCGTGTCGAGAACCTCAAAGTCAAACTTCCATCGCACCAGAGCGTCCTTCCGGTTCACCTTGAACTGACGTCAGCACGGCTGAACAGCGACCCATGGAAACCCACCTCGCATGTCCCGTCGATGAGCGAGTTCAGGATCTCGATCAGACACCTCACGTGAGGAGCAGGCTTTGCGTCAGTGAGCCACTGAAGTATGGAGTCGATGAAGGTTGAACTTACCAGGGACAGGTCCGGGATGCGGAACTGGCGAGGAACAGGGGCTGTGCTGGGGCCGGTGCCCTCGGCGTTGTCGACACTGGCGGTCTCGTCGGCCGAGTCGTTCTCCTCCTCGGCCACGCGCTCGTCCTCGTTCCCCACTCCACGCTCGTCGTTCTCCTCGGGCGGCTCGTCCTCACAATGCTCCTCGTTGTCCGCCTTTCCTTCCTTGTTGACGACTTCGGTCGTGTCCTGGTCGTTCTCAATGACACCCGTCGCGGCAAAGTCTTCCTGGTACTGTGAATCAATCAGCACGAATGTCAGACACCTGGACTGAGACTCACCTCATCCGCCTCATCGAGGTCCTCGTCCCAGTCGCTGTCAACTGAAGGCAGCCCCAGCGAGTCCCAGAACTCGGAGAACTGTAGGTACGTGTCGCGGGCGGTCAGTACCAGTTGTCTGAGATTGCGCTGCTTCCGCGGAGTCAAAACGATGTCGGGTCCTGCGGGTTGAAGGGCATCGTTCGAGCCAGCATTGATCTTGCTCTCAGCGATCGGGCGCTTACGCTGCGCACATCAGCATGTAGCCTCGTCAATTCTTGCCAATGATGCGGCGAGCGGGTTGGACTCACCGGCGGTTTGCGCACATCGGGTGACTTGGTAGGAGACGGGGGAAGGACCGTATGGCGAGGAGAACTGGGAGGAGTAGAGCGCTGTCTCTTGGAACGAGCGGCAGCCTTGCTCGAGGGGTCGGCGGGCGTCGGCGACGTCATGATGAAGGACTAGAAGTGTGAGGAAGCTTGTTCGTCGAGTGGTGATGGTGAGGAAGGATGTGATGTGAGCGAAGATGGAAGATGGAGCTGACGACAGCGGACGGCGGTGAGCGGGAGTATCCTCTAGGCATGCAGGCAGGCAGGCGGCGTAGGTGTGCGTGAGGCGCGTAGGTGCGCAGGTTGCTAGCAGGCAGGAGGGGCGCAGGGGGCAGGGCGCAGCAGTGTGGAAGGCAGTGAGGCTGCTAGGACATTCTAGGCGGCTGACTGGACTCACGACGACCCCTCCAGATTCAGACGGCCAGTGTTGACATGGTCTAGACCACGACCCAGACGGTCCAGACGGTCCGATCGGTTCCCGCTGCATTCTGGATCCTACGGCCACACACAAGCCATGTCCTTGCCAGCAGCCCGGCTCCAAAGTGTCCCCCGTGGGTAGGTACGGCACATGGGCTTCGTCGCCTGCCAATGCATCGAGCGCGTAAGGCATTGGAAAGGCGAACCGGCGCGCAGTCAACCCAGCTGCGCTTATCTAAGACATTCCGCCTCCACCCAGTGCGGCAACTGAGCGTGGAGCCCCGCTGGTAGTGTCCCCGTACACTTTCAACAACTTGCACTCTGCTCTCTACATCTACACGCAGTATCAAGTATCACTTCACTCGCAGGCTCATCAAAACGAGGCCATCTGGGCGCCCACTCGCATCGTGCATTCTATGCTTGAATCGGGCAACGAACGTGATGTCGTCTCCCGCCCCTGACCTCGGCATTGGTCATGCCTCAACACGCGCAGCCTCAATGCTGCTTTCGGCGCCCCTTGTGATCGCTTCGTAGAACACAACACCGATGCCGACCAAGGCTGCCAGACTACTCATTTAGAGCACTCAATTGCAGTCACGCAGCCTTCACACCTTAAGGCGGCTGAGACGACATAGCCGTCGGCGGAGCGACCGAAATCGAGTCAAGCGCGCGAGACACCGTCGCCCAAGACAGGTCTCAGCGAGTCCGTCCTTCTCAGTGATTGCAACCGGACTGTAAGCTGCACAGGCTTCGACCAACGAAAGATTCATCTTGTAACCCTCGATGAGGGTTTCGTCCTCCTCAACGCAACCGCCAGCACGGCCAAAGAACACAACGACACACGATGCCCACGTTTGTAAGACAGTTGCTCCAGCTGCACCCTCTCTTTGCTCTCTCGGTCGGCTTTAACACAAGACATCAACATCCGCTCGATCAAACCCCTGAGCACCTCAGCGTGTTGTTCGCTGTCTCGGGTCCCGCCGTGTCGAGCTCTGTGTCTGTATCGCTTATCTTTAATCAGCCATCAGCATCACATCGGTCAAACTCTGCAACACTTCCGCGTGTGTTGCTCGCTGTTTCGGAACCCGCCATCTGGATACTCGCCGCCTCGGATCCCATTGTCCCCAATCCTGCTGTCTTGCGCGCTTCACTCGTCGGGGCTTTGTTGCAATCGCTCCGATCGCGCCGACTGGCCCATCCTCCCCCAGTCCCGACTCTTTTCGAAGGCCTCGTGCCCATTACGCCACCCCCGAACGCCAAGACGTCTGCATAACGTCATCATCGGAAGGCTCGGCACCGTCGCCAGCCTCGCCTACGAACAAGACCCTCGAGGCGGACAAGCCGGCAGCTCCTGGTTACGGGTATGTCACGGCCCCAGCGCAGTCAACATCGCCACAGCGTGAGTGTGCGCAAGAAAGCGGGGGCATCATGCGGACGGGCAACTCGACTGGCAGCCAATCACCTTCCCTCTTCGTCAAAGCGTACGGGACAAGACTCGCTCGATCACTCGATGACTCGATGGCTCGATCGCTCCCCGACTCGATCTGGCGATTATCTGCCCTTCGGCCTCGGCGCCAGGAGCAGCGTCACAAGTCCCTTCAACCATGGTTATCCCGCAGAGGTCCGCCTCCTGCTCTGCGTCGCTGCTGCATGCAAGGACGGCGGTGTGCGCGAGCATCCAAGCTGTGAGGTCCAAATCAGAGGTGGTCGCAGCCAATTTCGATTGGAGTCTGTCCAAAGTCTGCCCAAGTCTGCCAAGTCTGTCCAGACCGCACCAAACCAGCCCAAGCGTCCTCAGCACTATCGTCGATATTCTACCCAAATCAGCCGAAATTCCGACTTTTTGACTAGCCGGGCTAGCTGGGCCACGAAAGGGTTGAGGTGTCCTTGTGAGATCCCGCCACAAAGCCTACGTCATGCCACACTCGCTCACGCAACTTCGCATCTAGCATATCCGCCAGTCAGCCGGGACGTCGACCGTCAGCGAGGTTTCCCTGGCAGTGCAGTTTGTCCCTGGCTCTGTTCCTGACATCCGGACATGTGGGCGTGTCGTTCGCCTCACGTCTCACGTCTCGCGCATCGCGCTGCTGGGCGTCTGCTGGGCGTCTGCTGGGCGTCTGCTGGCCCACTGGCCGCCTTGCTTTGTTTGTCTGCCTGCTCGCGGGCCTGCTTTGGCCTGCTTCCTCACCGCCTCGTTGTCGTCAGCCTGCCAGGCTGCCAGCCTGCCCGCCTACCAGGCTGCCAGCCTTATCTGTCCGCTGCCACGCCCACTCTCTCCCGTGCCCTGCCGCCCTACCTGGACACCGAGTTATCGCGACCCCGGTACCCCGGAGACCCATGTTGATCTCTATGCATGTAGTGCAGTATAAGTACCAAAAAAAATAACAACCATCACTCTATGCAATGTGACATGCACGTCATCTCTCCATCTCATTTAGTTCGCCCAGTTCTGCGCGCCGCATGCCGCACACTCGCTGAGCTCTCAGCTGCCCGCCGCCCGCTTTGCCCGCTGGCCATGCTCTCAGCTGCCCGCCGCGCACTCGCTGCGCTCGTGAGCGGCTGCGCTACTCGTCCCGATTCCAAGGCCACTGCGCATAGTATCTCGTCTTCTGGACCAGATGCGCAGCGTGGAGGGCATAGAACACGGCTCCGTTCTTCCACCCGTCCTTCCCATCCTTGCCGTCTTTGGCCACGCCGTACGCCTTCACGGCCTCCTCGACGTGTCCCTCGGAGGGGTACAGGAACGCCTCGCGCACGAGCATCAGCGCGTCCTGTTTCCGCTGTGCGTCCTCCTCCGTTATACCGGATAGGATGCGCTCGAGATGGTCCAGCTCGTGTTCGAACACCTGTACTGAGAAGAGGGACCAGTCAAACATGGACCAATACGTCATGTGGCTCTGGTCGCCGACCAGGACGGGGATGCAGCCCGCATACACGACGTCGCTGAGGCGGTAGGTCCAGCCAGCGGTGCCGAAGGGGATGGGGCAGAAGCGCGTATCGCCCAGGAGGTCGAGGTACGTCTTGCCCTCGGGGATGTGGGCCCAGACTGGCTCCAGGCTGCCAGGCGGGAGGAGGCGGGGACACGTTGTCTTCAGCCGGAGGGATGTGCCCTGCCCGTTCGGCGAGCCCTTGAACGTCGCCAGTGTCTGGCGCTCGGCGACCTTCTTCACCTTGCTCACGTCTGAGAAGGCAGCACGCAGCTCGTCCTGCTTGCACGTCCTGGGCGGGATGAGCACGTCCTGGTCCGGGCTGTAGCAGGGGCTGTTGAGATCGCCCATCGGCTGCCAGCTCGATGCCAGCCTGAGCTCCTCCGCCGGCCGGCTCTTCTCCCTCACATTCGTCAGGTGGTGCAGGATCGTGTTGCACTTGCCCCAGTCGAACGTGAAGGGCACCTGGAGCAGGCCGTAGTAGAAGCTCTCGGGGAGATGCTTGGCGGCCGCCTGCTTCGCCCACTCGACAACGGGCGGGAAACGCAGCGTGTACTCCCAATGCGGCAGGAAGACCATCATGTCGTTCTTGAATGGTTGCGAGATCAGTTTGGCTGCGCGCTCCGCGACCGAGTCGGCAGAGTAGCACCCATGCCACTCGGTCTGGAGGCGGTCGAAGTGGTCCGGGTCCTCCTTCTCGCGCTGGTTCTCGATATCCTCGGGCACACGCGTAACGTTGATCGCGGGCAGACCGGGGCGGAGGTTGAAGTACCGTCGCGCGTTGGGGCGCAGCACGTCTCGCCACTCCAACTTGCCTGGCAACGTACGAGAGCGCGTGGGGCACGCCGCCTCGACACACATGCAGTCGCCCGTGTCGACGCAGATCGTGGGGTGGTCGCAGAGATTCGTGCAGGTGCGGTCGTAGGAGCGCGCCTTCCAGTCGCCCGCGAGGGAGGAGGGGATCTCGCCGCCGGTGAGCGGGACTTGCGTCGTGCGGAGGACGTTGAGACGCTCCTCGGCCAGAGTGTGTGCCTTCTCGAGCCGGGAGCAGAACTCGTCGCGCCGCGTCTTGCCCCACTTGATCCGGTACTGGTCCCGCTCGTCCATGATGAAGCTGGACAGCGGGTCGTCCTCGTAGAACGGCCATGGCGGGGCAGTCGGGCAGCACCACGGCGTCAGGCGGAACACAGTGCTTGACAGACCGGTATCCTCTGGTGCGTTTTCCCAGTCGTTGTCAAACTTTTGCGGCGCGTATGGTGCACCCGTGCTCAGCGACAGTGTGAGGTACCCCGTGTCGGCGTCGACTGCTTTGATGCGGAACGCGTGTCCTTCAAAGGTGACGTTCATGGCGGGCTCGCGCTTGCGTGTGGACCCGGTCAACGACAGTTCAAAGTCGCGTCCCGAGCGAGAAACGTGGAACGTCCAATCCGTCGGCATGTCGGTCTCGCGCCATACACTCTCTGGCTCGGGCCAGACGCCGTCCTTCTCCTGCCCCTCCTTGATGTGCGCAAAGGCGACGTAGCCATTGTTCTCCATCGCGAGAGAGCCCGAGCACCCTTCCAGCGCAAAGACGTCGGCGATGCTGTAGCTGTGCTTGACGTGGCAGCTCGCCTCGCGCTTCTTGTGCAGGAACGTGACGCTCTCCTCCGTCAACTTGGTTGCGAGTTTGAGTAATCCGTCGTCGGCCGTCACCTTTGGCTCCCAGCCTGGCACTCTCGTTCCAACCTCGGCGGGGGCGACCTCGGGGTACATCCCGTCTCGAGGGATCGTCATGACTGGGCTCTTGGAGCGGGTCAGGCGCATGATCTTCTCGATCAGCGCGCGAACGGTCTGTGGCTGGTTCGGCGCAACGGTAAAGACATCCATCGAGCTCGGGCCGCGCTTGGTCGCCAGGTGATTCATGGCGAGCACGATTGCGCTCACCGCATCCGTAACGTGGAGCAGGTCGACGGTCTGGTGTCCTGCGACCATCTGGATTGTCCGGTGAGAGAGCGCGTTGCGCACAATGCTGAGCGCAAGTCGATCGGGGTGGTCGTTGACGCTGCCGTAGATTGTCGCGAAACGCAGCGCGGCCGCGTGGACATTAGCAGAGGCGTTGTTGCTGGCGAAATCGGCGAGCCACTTCTCAGCGTCGAGCTTGGTCTGCGCGAGCTCGTTGATCAGACCGTCACCCTTGGGCACGACGACCTCAGTTGTCGATGCCTCGATGAACCACCGCACACGCGCCGCACTCAGAGACACAAGCTCCTGTACGTGGTCGACGTTGAGGCGGCGACAGCGCTCAACGTCGGCCGCACATTCAGCAATGCGACTGACGCCCGCGACGTTGACGATACCGACGACGTCACGCGTCAGCGCCTTCGGGAGGTCCTTTGCGAGATGATCAGCGCGCCCTTGCGAGATGATCAGATTGCCTTTCGGGTGCGCTTTCCGGATGGAATCAATCTCGTCGGGGTACACGACCTCGTCGTAGAGCGTCACCGCCTTGCCGGCATCAAGAAGACGGCGAATCAGCTGCTTCCCTGGCCGTCAGTTAACTTGTATCGCTTGGGCAACTCACCAAGCATGCCCATGCCGCCCACGACGAGGATGCGACCCGTCTCCTTTGGTCCAGCCGCATGGTAGGGATTCGGGTCGACGTCTGCGAACAAGGGGTGCGCGTCGTAGGGTGCCGGCTTGTGGACATTGTCGGTCGCTGTCCACGCGACGACCTTGGAGTTTACGAGGTCCTGCCTGTCAGCTTCGCGAGATACCTACAAGCTCACCGTCTGGGCATAGTAGAATGTAAAGATGGAAAGAGCGAAGAGGACGGCGACGACCCAGGGCCAGTGTGTCCGTCGTATCCGGAGGAACATTGCTACAGCATCAGAGTGCGCTGGAAGAGGTGGAAAGGAGTGTTATAGGAAGGGATGTTGGGAGTGGAAGGGGATGACGAGACTGGCAAAGTTCAGGTGCTCGCTGGCTCCCGCGCGTGCCCGCGACCTGACTTGACCTGGGCGGGACCAAAAAGCGGGTGTTGGACAGCGTGCAGCGGGTGTCGCGCTAAGTCATGGCGAGTGGAGATAGGTGAGAGGGTGTGTATGCAGCGTGTGGTGTGGTTGAAAGAGGTTGCATTCGCAGTGGTCGCGACGAGGATGCCAGCTGTTGTTGTTGTTATGGTTGTTGTTGACTGGTCCCCCTCGCGTTGTCGCGTCTCGGGGTTTGTTGGCTCGAGTGAGGATGGATTCGGTCAGAGGCGTTTTTGCGGGGGACGGGGGAGAGGGGCTTGAATACCTGACTTTTGACCCTCCGGACAATGGCCAATCTCCGTTGGGTACCCAGGCTGACGCCACCCGGGGCATACGGGGCATCCCCGTGCCTGGCAACTCCAGATAACGCGCCTTTGCACCCTGGATCCCTCGGCATCGTCGGCGCGGACACCTTTCCAAGATCCGATGAGTTTGTCATTCTTCTTCTTCTTTTCCAAAGCAGTCCCTCCCTCCCCTCTTTCCCAAAGCATGTGCTCCTCGGAAATCACCGAGAGCACTCACCCAATGACACACCCCGCTCGCGCCCAGAACTAAGGCGGACACCAGCGGGCCAGTCTCCTCAACCGCACGGGGCCGAAATGTCCAGACCACTTTCTCACTCCCGAGGTTAGTATCGCCCCTATCAAGACACCGGCCGGAACAAACTCAACTCTGGGATAACTCTCTCTCACAACACCTGACAATGACGCACACCCCGCATTCCTCCTTCCTTTCACCGGATGCACTGCTCCCAGATCTATTCCTGCCCCCCGTGCATGTACCGGACTTGCCGCGCTGCCCCTAACCCAAAGGCGTGTGCGCAGTACCCCACTTGACTTGGCTCGATCCTGCCAGCCAACTCTTCCACACTCAGCTCCGGACACCCGGTGGGATCAACAGATATATAATGGGCGTGTCTCTCCCGACCAACATTCTCCTCCCCATCATCAGTTTCATATCTGACCCGAGCCAACTCCCAGCGCAAGCTACCCCTACACCCCTTACCCCGCATTTAGCACCCCAACAACGACTTTGAACCCCGTCTGAGTGACCATGATCCTCAATGCCGACGCCAAGATCAGCAACACCCCCTCCATGAAGGGCGCGTTCCAGCCCTCGGGCGACGCGTTCTGGGACAAGTGTCTCCAGTGAGTGTCTCTCTTCGTCTGCTGTCACTCTGCATCGTCTGTGCAGACGGGTGACTGAGTGATGTTCGGGTTAGTGGCGATCGGCACTGGTTCCACTGGTTCCTCTGGATTCAGTGGTTTCGTGCCTGGCACCGCTCTCCTCCGACACCGCACCGCTCTCACTCCACCCCCCTCTCTCCAACATTGGCCACCGCCTCGCTACGCTCAGTGCTAACAGACAGCGAGCCCTTCCTCACCCGCACCTACGCTGGCACCGTCAAGGAGATCACCATTGATGGCCAGAACATGACGATGGGCGACGTCGTCGCCGTTGCGCGCCAGGGCGCCAAGGCCGTCATCTCTCCCTCGGTCCACGCCCAGATCCAGGAGTCGGTCGACTTCAAGGAGTCCAAGAAGCACACCTCGATCTACGGTGTGACGACCGGTTTCGGTGGCTCGGCCGACACGCGTACCTCTGACACTGAGGCGCTTCAGCTCTCGCTTCTTGAGCACCAGCTCTGCGGTTTCCTCCCCCAGAGTGGCGACTATGATGCCATGCTCCTCGCGGCGATGCCCATCCCCATCGTCCGCGGCGCCATGGCCGTGCGCGTCAACTCGTGCGTCCGCGGCCACTCGGGCGTGCGCCTCAGCGTCCTCCAGTCGATTATCGACATGCTCAACGCCGGCCTCGTGCCCTGCATCCCTCTCCGCGGCACGATCTCGGCTTCGGGCGACCTCTCGCCCCTGTCCTACATCGCGGGCGCGATCTGCGGGCACCCCGACGTGCGCGTCTTCGACACGGCGAACAATGTCGTCCTCTCCGCCCCCGAGGCGCTGAAGAAGTACGGCCTGCCCACCGTCAAGCTCGCGTCCAAGGAGGGTCTTGGTCTCGTCAACGGTACTGCTGTTTCCGCTGCCGCGGGTGCGCTCGCGCAGTACGACGCCGAGTGCCTTGCCATGCTCGCGCAGGCGAACACGGCCCTCTCCGTCGAGGCGCTGCAGGGCCACGTCGGCTCCTTTGCCGAGTTCATCCACGCGATCCGCCCGCACGCGGGCCAGAAGCAGGTCGCGGCCAACATGCGCGCGATGCTCGATGGCTCCTCCCTGGCCGTGCACAAGGAGGAGGAGGTGGCGCTCGCCGACGACGCGGGTGTCCTCCGCCAGGACCGCTATGCGCTCCGCACGTCGGCGCAGTGGATCGGTCCGCAGCTCGAGCTCCTCGCCCTCTCTCGTCGCCAGATCGAGACCGAGCTCAACTCGACCACGGACAACCCCCTGATCGACGTCGAGGGCAAGACCTTCCACCACGGCGGCAACTTCCAGGCCATGTCCGTCACCTCGGCGATGGACAGCGACCGCATCGTGCTCCAGAACCTGGGCCGCCTGGCGTTTGCCCAGGTGACCGAGCTGATCAACTGCGAGATGAACCGCGGCCTCCCCTCGAACCTGGCCGGCTCGGAGCCCAGCACCAACTACCACTGCAAGGGCCTCGACATCCACAGCGGCGCGTACTGCGCCGAGCTCGGCTTCCTCGCCAACCCCGTCTCGAGCCACGTCCTGAGCACCGAGATGCACAACCAGAGCGTCAACAGCATGGCCTTCGTCTCCGCCCGCAAGACAATGGAGGCGTGCGAGGTCCTCGGCCTGCTGCTGAGCACGCAGCTCTACTGCGCGCTGCAGGCCATTGACCTGCGCGCCATGGACGTGAGCTTCCGCTCGCACGCGGCCGAGCTGCTCAAGACCAGCCTCGCCGCGCACTTCCCCGAGCTCTCCGAGCCCGAGCTCGAGGCGCTGAACAAGCTCTGCGCCCAGAGCCTGGGCAAGCGTCTGGACGCGACGCCGTCGATGGACTCTGGCCCCCGCTTTGCCGATGCCGCCCGTTCTCTGGTCGGGCCGATTGTCGAATTCCTCGCCGCACGGGGCAAGGACTTCACCCCCGTGTCCGGCTTTGCGGCCGCGTTCGGCAAGGACGCAGCCGCGCTCTACGGCAAGATGCGCGATGCTGCTGTGGCCGAGTCTGGCAAGGACATGAGCGAGGTTCTGGGCAAGACCGGCACGATCTACGACGCGGTGCGTAACGAGCTCGGCGTCAAGGCGCGCAGGGGTGATGTGGCCGAGGGCCGCAGTGGAAGCACGGTCGGAACTAGCATTTCGCGTATCGTCGAGGCCGTCCGGGACGGTCGGCTCATGACCGCCGTCGAGGCCATGCTGGAGTAAGGCATTTTCGTCTACAGTAGTTGTACTTTGTATGCATTTACGGGCTTATTGTGTATAAACTACGCGAGTGCAGGGGCTGCAGGGGTTGGCACTGACGTTGGAAACTGTTACGAGCTAGGTCGTTCATGCGCAGTAGAAGGGTGGGCGGATCGAGTTCGCCGCCGCTCCCCCTACCTGCTTCGACCGGGTCATTGCCGCTCGTTGCCGTATGGTTGCATATCTCGACGCTCTACGAATCTATCACGTCTACATTCTACTTCTGCGGCCGCTCATCCCAACTGGGAAGCGTGCGCAGGAACCGCCCAATGCTCGCAGCCGTCTCGGCCGGCTTCTCCTGAATAACGAGGTGACTCGCGTCAAGGATCCGCTCATTCCTACTTCTCTTTGGCCTCCACACCAGTTCCTGCGCGACCTCCTCGCCAGTCATCCAAGTCTCGTCCCCGGCCATCAGGAACCCGACGGGCATACTGAGGTCGGGCAAACACTCCCACCCCCTCATGGGCGCATCGGGTTCTGAGAACGTCTGCGCCTCGGCCCACGTCGGCGTGGCCAACTCCATCCCGCCGCTAGGGGAGGGCACGAGGTAGTGGCTCAGCCAGATACTGAACTGCTCTTCTTCCCAACGACTGAAGAGCGCGTTGGACCGGACATTCCCCGCTTCGGCGAGGGAGGGCCACTCGGAGCGCCGCTTCAGCGCACCCATCGTCAATGGGGAGCCTGACTCGCCCGCATTCACGAGCGACGGCACCGTCATGGGCTCCACGAGGAGGATGGCTTCGAACAGGTCCGGGCGCGAGGCTGCAGCCTGCGCGAGCGCGTTGCCGCCATAACTGTGTCCGATGCCGACTACCTTTCTCTTCAGACCCTCGGCGGGCGTCTTGCCCGCCTGCTGCGCCGACTTGCCCCCGAGTTCAAAGGGGAGCTGGAACCCCGCCTCGTCCGCCTCGTCCCCAACGGCGGGCAGCACGTTTTCGACAAAGTTGATCAACTCCCGCGCGCTGTCGTCCCAGCAGAGCGCGTCCCCGAGCCTCCCCTTGTTGAGGTCGACAGAAACACCATGATTCGTATCCTCGAGGAACCAGATTTCGTTGATGTGCGGTGCGTCTCCGGCCAATGGCTCGCCCGTGCCAAACTGCTTTCCCTCCGCACCCTCGAGCAAGGGGAAGAGCTTGGCAAAGACGGGCCGCCAGGATTCCTTCGAAAAGCCGCACGCATGGGTTGTTATTATCGTCAGGCCGTCTGGCGCCTGAGTGCTGTTGACCCAGCGTTCCGCTGCGATCCAGAGCGGGTGGTGCTCGGCCTTGAGCGCCGTGTCGAGGGGCCACACGGGGGAGTCGTGCCGGGCCGCAATGCAGCGGTTTTTCTCTGATGCGAGGCGCTTGTTCCTCTCCTCCTTGCTTTCTTTCACCGGTTGAGCATTACCCGTTCCTGCCGAGAAGCCGGGGTGGCAAACGGATGGCTGTCGCGCGCGTTGGTGCCGATCGCACTTGCGAGAGAGCGGGGGTAGGCGGCGGGTGCCGCGTGCAGCGTGCTTGACCAGCCTGAGGGTGTCGGGAGGACGGGGCGTGGGGGCTGCTGTGGGGCTGTACTCTGGTTCGGATGCTGGAGCAGCGGCAGCAGAGACCGGGGAGTGAGTCCCGTGCTGCCGCGCAGAGTCGTGGGCCGCGCGTAGGATGCTGGCTTGGGCAGAAGCCGGGGGAGAGTGCGCAACATGCCGTGTGCGCTGTGCCGACGCTTGGCCGCGTAACTGGGAAAAGCTTGAGAGAGGGTGGATAGAGCGGGGGAATGGCGTGGGGTGTCGTGCTGCACCCGCTGAGCTGCTGGGATGCCGGGCTACTGGGCCTACTGGGAGCAAGCGAGCTAAGATGGCCTAGCGCCGTTGGTGCCGTTGGTGCCGCTGGTGCGGTTTGGTGCCCGGATTGCGGCTTGTGCCGGGATGCGCGTGGTTCGGTAGCTACTGTCGATTGTTGCCGGTAGTGATCTGCCGTAGTGAGAGTTCTGCAATGCTTGTGATTGCGGAGCAGAGTGCGTGGATTGCTTGTGCAGAAGAATGGAAGAGAGACAAAGACAGTCAGCAGGATTATAAGATAGCCATCGGTCGCAGGAGTCGCGCGCGCCCAACTAGCCGAGATATTGCCCCAGCGCCCCGGTTCGCCGGGACCGGAACTCGGCTGACTTGGAGGATATCAGTCAGCAATCGTCGGAGTGTGGATCATCTCCGTATTTCTGGAGACTCTGTGCCTGGCACTGTATGAAGCTTGATGCGATGTCCACACTGTCTGCTTTGCATGCACTCTTGTTACGGCCGTTCGACGGAGCAGCGAGGCACCAACTCACATACGCAGCATACGGACGCTTAACTTTTCCAGGCAATGGCTATCGCGCGTAATTGTTGACTCCGGAAGACAGACTCAAGGTTGCCGGACCCCGTGTTCCATGTATCAGCCGGACACCCCAAGACTACTCGCAACATGCATCATCTCTGGCCGAGCACGAGCAGAGCTAGCAAGACTAGCGAAGATCCATGAATCCATGCGTCTGCTTGGATTGTCGGCCACAAGAGTCAAAGGAGGGGAGCAAGTGCCCGGACAGCCCAGAGCGAGCTAAAAGGACGAAACCACGTTAACCACGTTTTTAGTACGGTTTGTAGGCCCCGCACTAAAGTACTAACGCGTTCGGAGCCCGTCCCGGTCAATGGTGCCCGCCTGGACCACCCCTCTGCCCGTGTCCGACGCAACGCCTCTGACGCTCTAGCATACATCCATGCACCCACCATGCCCTCTCTCACTCTCTCTCACATCTCCTCATCGGTTACTATCCAGTGACACCGCCGGTCAGTGCAGCCGCTAGCTCACACGCTTTCGCTTCCTATATTAGCCAGCCCCATCGACATTGAAGCCCCGTCTCATCCTCCTTCTCGAAACCCCACTCTCTCACCCTCCTTTTCTTTTCTTACCCCGGCACAACTCCGACTTCATCTCTCAGTCCATCCCGACCTCATTGTTGCCTGTTCAAAATGTCCAAGACCCGCACTGAGAAGATCTCGACCGGCGAGGGCCCGTCGGTCTTCATCATTGGCGCCGGTATCGGCGGTATCACCATGGGCCTCGATCTCGACAGCCGCGGCATCACCAACTGGATGATGTTTGAGCGCTCCGACGGCATCGGTGGCACTTGGCACGCCAACCGCTACCCTGGCTGCCGCTGCGAGTGAGTTGAGCGTCTCGCGAGAGTTTGCAACGGAGCAACCTTGACCTTGTTGCCACCGGCTCCGGTGCCGGTGCCGGGTCGCCCGTGCCTCACCCCTCGCGTCTCCTTGCGGAAAACTTTGTATGCTGACAGTCGTCACAGCGTCCCCGCCATTGTCTACTCGCACTCGAAGCACCCCAACCCCAACTGGACCCAGACGCACCCCGAGCGCGCCGAGATCCAGAAGTACTGGGAGAACCTTGCCTACTCGCAGGGCCAGAAGGAGCGCATCCGCCTGAATCAGAACATCGTCGATGCCAAGTGGGACAAGACGCGCAAGCTCTACGTCGTCGAGGTCAAGGACCTCGTCAAGGACGAAACGTACTTTGTCGAGACCGACATTCTCGTCACTGCCTCGGGTGGTCTCTCGCAGCCCAAGTACATCGACCTCCCCGGCGAGGAGGGCTTCAAGGGCCAGGTCGTGCACGCTGGTGACTGGCCGCGTGATCTCTCCGTCGAGAGCCTCAAGGGCAAGAAGGTCGTTGTCGTCGGCAACGGATGCTCGGGTGTCCAGGTCGTCGCCACGCTGGGTGAGGATCCCGAGATCGAGGTCGTCTCGCTCGCGCGTGCGCGCCAGTGGTTCGTCCCCTCCAACCCGGGAGAGCCCCGCCACTCGGTCCCCTACTCGGAGACCCGCAACAAGCTCTGGCGCAAGTTCCCCTTCCTGATGGGTGCCGAGCGGTTCATCATGGCGTGCATCATGGACTCGCTCTGGTACTGGTACAAGGAGAAGGAGGGCAAGCGCGCGCGCACCAAGCTCCAGGCCTCGCTTCTCGAGTGGTACAAGGCCGAGCTGCCGGAGTACATGCACGACGCCATTGAGCCCACGCACCCCTTCGGCTCGAAGCGTCTCATCTTTGAGGACGGCTACTTTGAGGCCCTCCGCAAGCCCAACGTCAAGTTTGTCGACGGCCGCATCGCCTCCCTCACCGAGGAGAAGGTCATTGTCGACGACGGCCGCGAGCTCGACGCCGACCTCGTCGTCCTCGCCACCGGCTACGACGCCGACACGACCCAGTACCAGGTGCACGGCTCGACCGACTCGACGGCCAACTACAAGTCGCGCTCCGAGTACCACACGTACCGCGGCATCTCGCACCCGGGCATCCCCAACTTCTTCAACGTGCTCGGCAACAACATGGGTCTGAACCACATGGGCATCACGACCGTGATCGAGATCCAGACGGCGTACATCGGCCAGCTGGTGGAGCAGATGCGCGACAACAACATCAAGGAGCTCGAGGTCCGCAAGGACGCGACGTTCAAGTACGAGACGTGGATCGAGAAGCGCCTCAACGACACGACCTGGGTGCAGGTCAACAACTGGTGGCGCGGCAACGACGGCAAGGGCCGTCTCTTCACGCACTACCCGGGCAGTGTCCGCCGTCTGTGGTGGGAGCAGCACAAGCCCATCTACAAGGACTGGATTGGCGCCGACGCCGTCGTCCGCAAGGAGCGTCTCCGCCGCGTCGTCTTCGTCGCCGCCCTCCTCGCCTCGGGATACTTTGCCAAGCAGCACAACTTTGAGTACGAGTCCATGAAGGACACCATCGTCGGCGAGGCCATCAAGCTCGTCGCATCGGCTAAGGTATACCTCCAGTCGTGGACTGCCAAGTCGTCATAAGTTCACGGAGCGCGAAGCGCGAAGCGGAGCGCGCAACGCGGCGCAATGGAGCAAAGCACTCGGTGTACCCCGGGCGTTCTTACCCCAAGCGCCGTCGTTAGAATTCTATAGTCAAGTTGGTTGTAGCATATGGATACCCCATTTCTCGAGCCAAGGTCCGGGGCGATGGGAGGGCAGCGAGGAGATGGGTGGCAAATGGCCTGCAGCGAGAGGAGATCTGGTGCATGCGGGGGGAGATGAGAGGAGCAGGGTGGAGCGTGGGGAATGTGGGGCATTCGACCTCGGACTGGCAGCCCAGCTCGCTGACTGGCCGGCTGGTCGGCTGGCCGGCTGGCCGGCTGGTCGGCAATGGTCGGCATGTCGGCATGAATGGTGGCGTCGAGGGTCACCCTCCCCATGTTGGGCCTGGGGGTCCGACTGGTCAAAGCCGTGGTGGGGATGTGGGGTGGAGCGGTAGCAGTCTCGACATGCTCGACAGCCGAGGGAGGTGAGCGTGAGCACACGTGCAAGCCGGCACCCACCACGGAGTCTGCGGAATAGACAGCCGAAGCACAGATGAGGAAGCTGGGCTTAGTGCGTGGCGGGGGGGGGTGAGTCCGCCTCCGGAGCAATGGCAATGGGGTGGTTGAAGACGGCCTCGCTGACCTCACTTTGTCAACGGGGTCGAGGGATTGAGGGGCCAGTGAGCGGTATCGGAATCCAGACGAGACTCGTGGCTTTCACACTACCCAGGCCTCGTTAGCGATTCAGGAAACGAGATGGTCCGTATCGTCAGTAACTTGCATTCTGCAGATGAAGGTGGATTATCTTAACAAGGAGGCTGCCAGCGGAGGCAGCGCATGTGAATGAAACTCCTGGGGGCATTCTCATCTTATCAATGAGATGAGTGAGATCACGGATCCGCTCTCCAGCTGCCTGTCCACCACTTGCTCTCATCTCCCACACTCCACTCTCTGGTTCCGTCTGCGACATGATATTGATGCGGGGACAGGAGTTCCCAATTGCGATGCCCGATCCGATGCATACGCGGGTTGGAAGGATGAGGGGCGAGGAGCCCCAGTATGCACTGATTCTTGGGCCGAGAGTCGAGCCGTCGCATGGATCAATGAGCGAGAGCGCACAGACAGACGAGGCGAGGTGAATGTTGACCGCCTCCCTGATTGAAGAGGCAGGGTAATCGCGTGGCGCAAGGTGATGCTCGCCGTGTCTCAGCGCCTCGGCGTGTACGATGCAGGATGCAGGGGTGGTGTCTCGGAGATTCCGCATACTGCTGACAACTCATCCTACGAATCGCGAATGAGAGAACGAAGACTGGCGGGGAAGAAGAGAGAAGGGGAAGGCACAAGTGCAAGCTTTGCGTAAGCTTTGGGAGTGTTTCGCGGATCAACACTGTAGAGAACCGGGTGAAACACGTGAACCATCCATGGGCCAACTCAATCGGTGGGCGGACGTTTGCATTCCGAGAGCATGCGGGTCGACAGTAAGCGGTGAAAGTCAGTCGCGCTACAGAGACCACACCAGTCCCCTACTCTACCCGGCAACCCATGTTGAAAGGAAGCATGTGGAGAAGATGTAAGCAGACACGCTAGTTTCAGACAGACGTTCGTGGAGTGACTGGGCTGAGGCAGAGATGAGACAACAGAGGACAGGAATAGCTCAGAAGCAACATGGGTACCGGGTTAACGCAACTTAAGACAGGTAGCGCTGAGGCTAGAAGTCGATAGCCGGCGGAAAGAGTGTGAGATAACAATGGCGCAGAAGCGTATCGCGTCACCTGATCTGCTACACCGTAACCTTCGCACTGGCAGTCTGGTTCTCGTCAGACTTGCCCGCAGGGCACGACGGGCACGATGGCCAGCTTCTCTGCACCGGTGGGGTAGCGGAACGTCGCAAGAACGAGATCGCGAAGCATACAGCAGAAAGAACCAGGTGACGGAAGAAAGCGATCGGCGGGATCACCGCATCACCTCAGCGGATGACCTCAGCGCCTCCGGACTTTCCGACGTGCACGGGCTGTCACTCCAGCCCTCCCGAAGACGTCGGCCATAATGTCGGCCTCGATGTCGGCCGAGAGCATTCCGCGACCGGAAGAGGCGTCTGCGCCATCAGGCCCCACGGCGTGATGAGCGCAGCGAGGGACGAGCACGCAGTGGCTGCGGCGTCCTGACCTTGACTGCCGGCGCCGTGGGTGATTGACGTGGGGTACAGACTGAGCACATGCATGGACGTTCTGCGGGGAGAGCGAGGCAAGCGAGCAGAGAAGGCCCCGGCTTGCCCCATCGCCCGCAACGCGAGAACAAGACGAAGCAGAGATCGACATGAGAAGGGATGGGAAGCATCGTAACTCTAAACTTGCTCACGATAAGCTTACGCCGCACGCCATTGTATTCTAGGAGGACTGTTTGCGGGACCTGGACTGTCATGGCAGAGGACGACGTGATAGGTGGTCAACTTGGAAAGCTCTGCCGAGACATGACTTTGTGCGGGGTAAGGACGCACCTCTGAGGGACTGATGAGGGACAGAGAGGGACAGGGACGGATCGAGGGACGAGTGAGGTTCTGACTCAGAACAGCGCGGTGTGATCACCACACTGAGACAACGTCGACAGACACGCTCCAGTCCACTGTCACGGACACACGGCCGCCGGCTGTGCGCATGCGCACCTACGCCTTTCAGAGAGCATGGAGAACGACAGATCGCCGGGTAGGTGCCCGACGAGCCCATCATGAGCGTGCCCGCCGGCCAAGCCATTACATTTCCATCGTCAGGTCCGCAGCAGGCGAAGATCTGCATGGCAAGGTTTCGTCTTACGGCAGGACACTCGAAGGAATTCTGCTGCATGGGCTGTAGATACGGTTCCATTGTGTGCAAGCTCCAAAGAAGGCAAACCATGGCGATCTGTTCAGGTCATCGATCCACGCGGATGGTCATATGACTCTGTTCGGCTCATGCCCGAGGAACAGGACATCATGAATTGCATGCAATGTTTGGGCGCGTCGCGCGTCGCTGGTCGCGCCGCCTCCACCGCCGACTCGCGATTGCATAAGCCTGCCTGCCCAGTCTGGGTCGTCTGGAGACGACCGGCCCGGAAGAAGCAACTGGCGGCGCACTCCGTGGCGCAAGCGGCGCAACGTACGCATGCATACAGCACCGAGATCCCGAGGGCCCGTGGGGCCGGCAGAGCTGGCCCCGGCCGGATGCGGGGCTGATGTGTGTAGATCGAGTAGGGTAGGTCGACCCACGCTGCTCTCGGAGAAGACGTCCGCATTTGCTCATGCATCAGAGACAATACCAGGCATAGCAGAAGAGATGGCCGAGCAAGACATGTTAAACGAGGCAGAGCGACCCCGGTTTCGCACTGGGAGATCACGCCTTTGGCCCACGCCTTCGGTTCACGGCCGCTGACGGACTTGGCAGGATGAACATGTGCTGCGCACGCCGGTGTCGCGGGTGGTCGTGAGCCCTGGTGATCCTGACAGTCGCGGGGCAAACCGTAGCGCGCTTCATTGGTGCAATTCATGAGTGGAGCAGAATAAGGCCCACTGGAACTCTAAGCATGTTTGTGTGTTGGTCATGTAGCCCGTTGTGCCCGTTGTGCCCGTTGTGAGCGAGTCTGAACAACTCTGGTACTCAATTGCAATCTCGGCACCCCCGGATACGCTTTCCGGGGCTCGTAAATGGGGTGTCCTGAGAACTATCCTTGCGGTCTGCTGTTGAACGGCTGCAAACGGCAAGTCAAGCGGTGCTCGTCCCTGTGTCGCCTCGCGCGCATTGGTCACGAGTCACAAGAGTCACAATTGCCCTGCTGCAAACTCGGTGTCTTGCGCGAGGCACGCTGGCAGAGAGACACGACGAGGCGCGTCCCCATGCGCGACCCCACGGTGGGCGGTAGGGTCACAGAACGCTGAGGGTAGAGGCGTCCGGCAAGTGGCCCCTGCGTTTCATGCTTGAATGCCGTAAACAAATCGGAGAATACACCTACTGCCCTCAGCGGTCATGCAGCGAACAGAACTCATTCCTCAGGTTCCTGCACTGGGAGATCTAAGATTGATGCACCTGCACTGGCTGCACTGGGCTTGATGGCATTGGCTCTGCCGTGCCCCGCCCTCAGGTGCAATCCTGCCCGCAAACGCCAAGACCGCTGTTTCCCGGAACCCATACTCGGGGAGGTCTAACCATCTTGAGCAGACTACCATGGACATGTGGGCTTTTAGTATATAAACATGTAGCGTGATGGGCTTGCTTAGTCCCATCAGCTTCGCCTCCGCCGACGACCTCGAGCTCGACCAGAGACCAGCCGACCAACGATGAAGGTCGCCTCCACGTTCATTATCTTAGCCTCGCTGCTTGGCAGCTCCTTTGCCTCCCCTGCCCCTGTTGTCGTCTCGGACGGCGGCATGCAGGGCGGCCTCGAGGAGCGCACGACTACGATCACCGTCAATGTTCCCGCCGGCTCCATTGTCGGCACGCAGGAGATTTGGACCGAGAACTTCAACGGTATCCCGTACGCCGAGACGGCCCAGCGCCTGCGCAAGCCCGTCCGCCGCAAGGACCCGCTCGTGAACTGGGACGCGACCAAGGCCGCCGCCGCGTGCCCCCAGCAGATCGCTGACTCGGACGACCCCAACTTCATCGCTCAGGTCCTCTCCACCGTCTCTGAGACTTCGCTCTTCAAGAAGGCCCTCAAGATCTCCGAGGACTGTCTCACTGTCAACGTCATCCGCCCCAAGGGCGTCAAGCAGGGTGACAACCTTCCCGTCCTCTTCTGGATCTACGGCGGTGGCTTCGAGCTCGGATGGAGCTCCATGTACGACGGCTCCCTCCTCGTCAAGTCTGGTCTTGACGTTGGCAAGCCCTTCGTCTTCGTTGCCGGTAAGTAACGGTCCCGTGCCCGCCCCACAACGCCAACATCGGCTTCTTGTCACTCCCATTCGTTCCTGCATCAGGATGGTCTCGGAAAGCCCGAACTTGACTACGGCCCGTGCGGCTTCGCAGGATTACGCTATCTCGCGGGATCCCGCGGCTGACACGGCTCCGATGTCACCTCTCCATCTTATCTCACATAGCGCCGCCGCTATCACGGGCTGGGATGCTGACGGCCAACAGTCAACTACCGTGTCGCCGGATGGGGCTTCATGCCTGGCAAGCAGGTCAAGGCCGAGGGCATCGGAAACCTCGGTCTTCTCGACCAGCGCATGGGTCTCGAGTGGGTTGCGGACAACATCGCTGCCTTCGGCGGTGACCCCGACAAGGTCACCATCTGGGGCGAGTCGGCTGGTGCCATCTCGGTCTTCGACCAGATGGCCGCCTACGACGGCAACAACCTCTACAACGACAAGCCCCTCTTCCGCGGCGCCATCATGAACTCGGGCTCTATGGTTCCCGTCGACCCCGTCGACGGCTCGCGTGGTCAGCGCACCTACGACGCCGTCGTCAAGAAGGCTGGCTGTGACACCGCCCCGGACTCGCTGCAGTGCCTGCGCGACCTGCCGCTCGACAAGTTCACCGACGCCGCCAACTCCGTCCCCGCCATTCTCTCGTACCAGTCCGTCTCGCTCGAGTACCTCCCTCGCCCCGACGGTGTCTTCATGACCGACTCGCCTGACAACCTCGTCTCGAACAAGAAGTATGCTGCCGTCCCCATGATCATCGGTGACCAGGAGGACGAGGGCACGCTCTTCGCTCTGTTCCAGTCCAACACGTCGGCTACTGTTGAGAGCACGACCGACTACCTGCAGAAGGTCTTCTTCCCCCAGGCTCCCCGCAACTACATCGAGGACCTCGTCAAATCCTATGGCACTGGCATCGAGGCGCTCAACTACGGCTCGCCCCACCGCACGGGTATCTTTAACGAAATCTACCCGGGCTTCAAGCGTCTTGCTGCGCTCCTTGGTGACGCCGTGTTCACGCTGACCCGCCGCATCTTCCTCGAGAAGTGCACCAGCCTCAACCCCGACGTCCCCGCCTGGTCCTACCTCGCGTCGTACAACTACCTGACCCCCATCATGGGCACGTTCCACGGCGCCGACATCCTCCAGGTCTTCTACGGCATCCTCCCCAACTACGCCTCGAGGAACATCCACAACTACTACCTCAACTTCCTCTACAACCTTGACCCGAACAACGCCTCGGGCGGCGACGGCTCGAACCGCTCCAAGGTCAAGGAGAACTGGCCCCGCTGGGACTCCAACTCGAGGCAGCTCATCAACTTCTACGCCATGTACTTCAAGCAGATCACCGACGACTTCCGCGAGCGCTCCGCCGCGGTCCTCCGCACCGCCTACGGTGCCCTCGGCCTCCGCCTCTAAGCGCGGGGTTCGCATCCCAGCCATCTCTCAGCGAGCCCTTTCATCTCGCATGGTCTCTGGTCGTCTCTGCACACATTCATTCTGAGAATATAGCCCATCTATCTCTTTATATTTATACTTAGCCACTGTCAACTGCTACCAATGCTGTAGTTAGGGGACGCTGTGTCCCACACAAACCTAAACAAACACCTAAACCTAGCCATTCTATACTATAAGTTCCAATGTAAAGGGTAACTGCGTCATTCCAGTGTGCAAGCTGAGTGGTCCGCGCTAGGCGGCCAGTCTGGTCTTCAGTCTGTGAGCGCGGGATGGTCTCGATCAGTAGTCAGTAAGCAGTCAGCATCACTACACTGTCGCTTTCTGCTACACGTGGAGCGTAGCCCAAAGTTCCATTCATGCCCGAGCTGCTGCCTCTCTATATCTACTCAATGTTGACGATGATCTTGCCGACATGGCGCGCGTTGGCGAGGTGGTCGTAAGCCTTCGGGAGGTCCTCGAACTTGAAGGTCGTCTGGTCGATAGTCGGCTCGATGCCATTGACATTGATAGCGTCAACGACCTGCTCGGCCTGCTTGCGGCTTCCGATCCAGATACCACGGACGATGCAGGTCTTGAGGAGGGTCTGGAGGAGGTCGGGCGTCTTGCCCTCGCCGGCGACGAAGCCAATCATGCTGATGACGCCCTCGCGGCGCACCGAAGCGAGCGACTGCTCGAGCGTACCCGGGCCGCCGACCTCGATGATGTGGTGCGCGCCGCCGGGGACGAGCTTCTTCACCTCCGCACCCCACTGAGGCGTCGTCTTGTAGTTCACGACGTGGTCGGCACCCATCTTCTTCAGCATCGCCTCCTTCTCGGACGAGGAGGTCGTGGCGATGACGCGCGCTCCGGCGGCCTTGGCGAACTGAATGTCAGCGCTGTGCTTGTTGATGCCGCCTAAGGATCAGACTCACCTGGACGCCGAAGAGTGAGACACCACCAGTACCCTGGGTAACGACAGTCTGGCCAGTGAGGAGCTGGCGACCCTCAAGGCCGTAGAGCGAGTTCCAGGCCGTAACAGCCGCGCAGGGGAGGGAGGCAGCCTGGGCGAACGAGTACTTCTCGGGAATGCGGACGACGCCGGTCTGGTCGAGCGCGATGAACTGCTGGGCCATACCATCAATCGCTCCGCCGAGGGAGGTCGTTCCGTCCTCGTCTGTGACAAGGCCGTCCTGGTGTCCTTGGGAGAAGATGGCCATGACGCGGTCGCCGGCCTGCCACTTCGTGACGCACTCGCCGACGGCGACAATCTCGCCGGCACCGTCCGAGATGGGCACGACGTCGTCCTTGATGGGGAAGCCGTAGGCGTCGTGCAGGATCACATGGTCGCGGTAGTTGAGCGAGAGAGCCTTGACTGACTGTCAGCGGGGATGCGGAGGAGGGACTCACCCTGCATTAGGACCTGGCCGGGTCCGGGCTTGGGCTTCGGCACCTCGCGGAGCTTGAGCGAGTCGAGCTTGCCGTCGCGCTTCTCGATGTACCACTGCTTCATAGTGCCGGTCATTGTCGTTTTGGGCTTTTGGAAGTCGGTTGGGTCGGTGGGGATGCACAGGTGACAGGGGGCAGTTTATAAACCGATGGGGAAGAGTCGGTGCCAGGTGTTGCTTAACAAGCATCGAGATCCCAAGTCCCGGGGACGGAGCGTCATAGGTCTCGGTAGGTCTGGGCTGTCACCCTCTGCTGACCCGCGCTTCACCGAGCGGAGTGCTTCCAGAATCCTGGTATCTCCCTGGTGGAGATACCCCGCGGCGGGAACTCTGCCGCGGCTGAGTCACTGCATGCGGCCTGGTGTCTGTCGCACCCATTCAGACCAAGTTGACCCGGATCCTTTGGCGTGCTGATGATGTTTGGGAATCAAGCAGGGCAACCGAAATGCGACCCGCGTGCAGCAGCCATGGCGTGCGGTGGATGGATGAACTTGGGTCAGACCCCGGACGGCGGAAGCTCTCAGAATGCAGGGTAAGAGCTTGGCCCCTCCCCCACTGACAACACTCCCGCTCGCTTAAAGGACGGTTACTGGCTGCCGCACTGGCTGACCTAAGCCTGACAAAGCGAGATGGACTTTTCGCCTTACAAAGCTTTTGACAAAGCGACTGCCCAATACTCAACCTTCATGCAGGAGACTTTGCGAGCAAACACATGCTCCAATGCAAGCGCAGCCGCAGCCGCGCCGGCGGTTCAAGAGATCTGGTTAAGGCTTGGCAGCGGAGCAGAAACAGCGGCGACGTCAGCGTAACGAGCGCACGGCCCACGATTAGATATGACATCAGGCACTCGACGCCATTCGCCCACCAGCGGGCATTCCGCACGCAGCCGCAATGCCATCCTGAACGCCAAATCCGAGGCCCGACGGACTGCACTCTCCGCATTGCCCTCTCACCCGAACCCGAAACCTCGACCCGTGTCCATCCCACGCTTCACGCCTTAAGCCTAAGCGAGCGAAACCTAGCCCAGACGCAATGCTCTTCGCCGACCAGCTCCGCCACAAGAACGAGGAGACGTGGAAGCGCGCCGTGGACCACACCTTCGTGCACGACCTGTGGGCGGGCAGTGTGCCCGAGAAGGTGATGCGGGAGTACATCTCGCAGGACTTTCTGTTCTCCGACGCCTTCGTTGCGCTCCTGGGCTCCGCTGTCGCGAACGTGGACGACGCCAAGGCCCGCCTCGTCTACGCCCGCCAGGTCGGCTTCATTGCGACGGACGAGGATGGATACTTCCAGCGCGCGCTCGAGCGCCTCGGAGCCAACAAGCCCGGCGACATCCAGCCGAAACCCGCGACCAAGGGCCTCCTCGACCTCATGAAGAAGTGCAAGCGCAGCTATCCCGAGGCCGTCACCTCGCTCCTCGTCGCCGAGTGGCTCTACCTCGACTGGGCCACTACGCAGCCGAACACAAGCAAGCCTGACGACTGGCTGTACTCTGAGTGGATCGATCTCCACCGCGGCCCCGCTTTCGAGACCTGGGTCACGTTCCTCCGCGACGAGGTCAACCGCGTCGGAGCCAGCGCGGACGACGAGACGAAGAAGCGCATGGAGGATGTCTTCAAGACTGCTACGGGGCTCGAGCTCGACTTCTTCGAGGAGGCCTACGCTGAGTGAGCGCCGGCGGTATCCGGATCGAACGTGGGATCTCGGTGACGTCCTCGGTCGACTCGAAAGGTGGAGGTGGCTTGAAGGCACGCCGCCCACCCCCAACCACATATCAAGAACGCTTCCCCTCAACGGTTGCCTTAGAACTCTGCAAGACTGTGCTATTCTGCAGCACTTAACGAAAGGTGCATGTCGTATTATCCTAACTTATCCTAATTTCAACCCAGTCTTACTGACAAGGGCGCTAGATTCACTATAAAACTTACAACCAGAATTGGATTACGCATAGACGTTGTTGGTAGCGCCGTTGTACATGGGGTCGTACCTCGTGCCGATCATGGCCTCGCGGGGGCCGCCCGACAGGTCAACTTCGTCGAGAGGAACCATCTTGGTCTTCTTGATGACCTTCCAGCTGACGAAGGAGACGAGGATGACGGCGAGGGTGATGTAGGACGCGAAGAATGTCGAGACATTGAACTTGGGAATCCAGGCCGTGTATCCGTTGAAGATGAGGATGATGGAGAAGAAGATGATCGTGAAGTACGAGAGGTACGGCTGGAGGAAGCCCTTGAAAACGAACTTGTTGCGGTCGATGCCCTGGACCTTGCAGGCCTTCTGGAAGCGGATGAAGCAGACGCAGATGCAGATCCAGGTCATGAGGCCGGAGAGGGCGGACAGGTTGGACAGCCAGACGAAGCCGACGTTGGAACCCTCAGAGACACAGAGGAAGGCAAGGCAACTGAACAGCGCCGACAGCAGAACACCGGCGTAGGGGATACCCTGCTTCGAGGTCTTGAGGAAGATCTTGGGCATCTGGTGGTTACGCGCCATGCCCATGAGGCCACGGGAGAGGGCGTACATCTGCTCGTTACCCGAGGAGAGGGCAGAAGTGACGACGACAGCGTTGATGATGTGGGGGAGGACCTTGACATTCATCTGCTTGCAGAGGACGACGAAGGGAGAGGCACCAGCAGTTCCGGCTCCGTCCTTCATAGACGTAAGCAGCAGGGGCGAGTACTGGCTGACGGTGAGGCCGATGATGAGGGTCGACAGGACGTAGATACCAACGATACGGTAGAAGACCGTGCGAATGGCCATCTTCATGGTGCGGCGCGGGTTGTGCGCCTCACCGGCGACGAGAGCGACGGACTCGATGGCGCTGAACGAGAACGCAGCCTTGGTGAACACGGACCAAAATCCACAGAAGCGCGACAGGCCCACAGGGCGGATGTTCATGAAGTTGTCGTTGAAAGGCTCATCGCGCCAATACCTGCCGCCGATGTACTCGCGGTTCGTCGGGATGCCACCCAGGTCGGCAATGAGGCCGAAGATCATCAAGCCAACGAGTGTAGCGACCTTGATGCAAGCTGTGATGTCAGCGGCAGATTCACCATAGGCGAGCTCGGAGCCGAGGTGGGCAAACCGACGGTGGCACGATCAACCGTGGCACTTTGCAGCCGCCGGCTCGAGCGATGGACACTCACCGAAGAAGAACTCAATCTCGCCGTACCACCTGACGCCGATGATGTTGACGAGGACAGTGAGCACGAGGAAGCCGGCAATGTACGCGGCGGCGTGGTTCTTGTTGGGGTCCCAGAATGTGAAGAGGGTCGCAATGGCGGCCAGCTCGGTCGGCACACCGAAGGCAACCTGCAGCGTCAAGTTGATGCCCATCATGAAACCAAGCGCGGGGTCGACAAACTTGGTGCCGAACTCGAGGAACGAGCCTGAGCGTTAGCTGACTGCGGAGCGGCCGGGGAGGAGCGGCTCGAAGGTGGGCATGCAGGGGACAAGTACTCACCGACGTTGGGACGGTAGCAGACCATTTCTCCGAGGGACTGCATCATGAAACCGACTCCGAAACCAATGAACGTGTAGCCGAGCCACATGCCCACGGGCCCACCCATGGTGAGCGCCGTGCCAGAGCCGAGGAAGAGACCCGTGCCGATCGTGCCGGCGATGGCGATCATGGACACGACGCGCGGCGGCTGTCATGTCAGCAATCCAGCTCCTTCTCTACCGTGGGAACGGCTCATCACTTACAAGGTCACGCCTGAGATGATGGTCGCCGATGTGCGTCGTCTCAAGGTCCTCCTCCTCGACGGGGACGGCGGACACGACGACATCTCCCTTCTCGTCGTACGGCGGAGTGCCGAGGTGCTTCTCGTCGGTGTAGTACTTCTCGTCCGCGCTCATTATGCTGGCGGCGTGTTAGAGTAGGGCGGAGGGCGGATACCGGTACGACTCCTCTTGATGCGATGCTTATATCCACATCGTTGGATCAGGCAAGGGGGACAGCCTGGGGTGCCCATTATCGAGGCGACCGGGACGCGAGCGCTTCCTCTCCGAGCATGGGTTGGTGGGCTGTGGGACAGGCACGACGGCCTCATTGCGAGGCCAGCCAGATTGCGATGGGTCGGTCCTGCCTGATTGTCCTCTGGCGATATGCTATCAGCCTTGTCTCGCCGTATCTCAGAGGGAGGTCTGAGACCCACATCCAGGACGACCTGCACTTGGAAATCACCGCCCCGTCCTTGCTGTTACCAGCCCCTCCTTGTACCTCAGCAGTGGACCCTGGCCCCAGAACATCAGCTGCCTGATTGGCCCCGCTTGGCAATCTATTTTGACCCGCTGGCGCCCTCTTGTCACATGCGGCCAGGACTGGACGGCCCCGGACGACTCCACGCCGAGAAACCTTCCGCCGGACTGCCAGAGACAGGCAGGGTTTTCGGCGTTTGGCGAGTGACGCGAAGATTCAGGCTCGGTCATGCGACGTCTTGTGTCGATCACATGATGCTGCGGCTCACGCTCCGCCAGCGCTCGCCGGCGCTTGGGCCATGGTCGGCCCACAAGTAGAAAGCGGGGGGTGGGCATGCCGTATCGCTGGAATGTGTGCGTTAATTGATCTCGGTCCCTCATTCAATCAGCAATGGCAAACCGCCAAGACTGAGCGAGGTGGGCTACCGACTATACGATAGCTGGGAAAGTCCCGAGCTGTCTGGTCCAGTCCAGAGTCCGGAGGCAATCTGGCCGAAAGTGCTCGATACGCATGCGCCAATCTCGCGCGGAGCAAGGAGGGTGGAGCACAGGGGTGTCGTTTACGATGTTGTGAATGTGGTCTCCGTGGGGATCCACTTCGGCATCTGCTCGTGTCGCATCCTCATAGGCTGCCTCTGTTGGAATCTAGGGGCGGTTAAATGACACGTCGCAAGGCAGCCGGCGCGGCACGGAACAACAGTCCCGGCGAGTTGTCCGGACCGCGCACTGTGATGCCAGACGCTGGAACGCTGGAAACAGAGTGGGGGTGCGTGGGGGCGCTCGCGTATCAGTGGTGAGCGCCGCGATACCGGCCTCAGTGGACGCGTGACTTGATCGGCGGCGTTCAAGAAGCACGCAGTCCTGCTGGCGGCCCCCTTGATGCGCTCGGCACTGCCGCAGTCCGCTGTTCGTGTGACCGAGTGACCGAGTGCTAAGTTGGTTCCTTCGCTCAGGCCATCCACCAGGTGGACCCAGGTGTTGTGGGTCTTGGATGCTGTGCTGCCTTCTTTCCTCGATGGGGCAAGTGACGTCTGTGCGGGCAATTGTGTCGGGCGAGGCCGACTCCCTTCACCTTTCGACGAAGTCCAATATGCGGCGATGCGGATATCTGCACATCCTTGCTGGATCTTGGGAACAAGCTGTGAAGACATCTCGTCGGGCATGGATAGGTCAAGATACGGTGAACAACCCATTTCCCCAAGCTTGAGAACGATAAGCGATCCGATCTTGAAGGTTCTATTTTGGTCGGCGCGGCGTCTGCGGTGCTCCACGACCGGATCGTGCCCGGCTCCTGGTCGTTTCCTGGTTCGCTCCTGGACCTGACCGACTCCAGGGTGGCTCCCTTGCTCTTTGGCTAGCCCAACGATAGGCGCCGCGGTGATACGTCCAGGGTTGTCGGGGCGGCCCATACGGAGACGAGTGTCTCCTATCGCAACCATAAACGTATCGTCCCCTCCCCGCGACCCGGAATCCGCTCGGCGCGCCGAGATCTCCGAGGCAACGCCGCAGGTCGCCGCTGGTCCGTCGGCGACTTCGGCAACGAGTGATCGTCGATCGCTGGTTCTTCATTGTGGCCAAAAGAGCTCACAACCTCCAATGACGGATGCGCTGTCGGTCCTCGGACGTGTGTTGACACTAGAGCTGGGACGCTTTCCTGCGGCGTCTACCAGTGGATCTGGCATGAGGTACCCCAGATCAGAAACTGAGGGGCGGCAGTAAGCGCTCGCCGCCGTCGACAGTGCTAATCCCAAGACAGGCATCTCCTCGAACTGTTGAAGTTTCTCCGGACGACTTGGTTCACCCAGAGAACTGGTTGCGATCCGAGCATCACCAACGGTGTTGGTTACCCAGTGCGCCGTTCAAGCCCATCTGTCTTAGGAACTCGTTGGCGATGCGGCGACGACAAGGAGATCACGCGTTGAGGCATAACGCACGATGTGGCAAGGGTCCGGCGCAGCGGCGTGTCCCAGGAGCCGATTCCAGTTGACCTGGGAGCCAGCGACTCCATGCCTCTCCTGGCGCAGGCTTCGTCATCTCTAGAAGAGGTCCACTGGTCCCGGCGGGGACTTTGTTGGGCGATGGGCTGTGAGCGACCGGTACGAAGGCCAACGCGGCGGCCCGTGCGGCGTCAAGGAGGTCTGCGTCGCGGGAGACTGGTGCCCGAGCTCCGTCTGCCACCGAGTCTCAGAGGAATGTGCCCAGCGCGGACGCCGGGCCGTGCCGCCCTGGGGAATGAGCATCAACGGACGGACAGCTCCCATAACGCCGCAGTGCACGGGGCGCCGCATTGCGCGTCCTGGGGACTGTCTCCGATGGACCGGTTGAAACTGGCACGACCAACGGCTACTCGAGGTTTCACTCAGAGCGATGGCCGCGGAAGAGGCGTCGGCATGTCGGCGGAACCTGCGGTTTGCCTGTGGTGCGAGAGTGGGCACGTGCACGTGCAAGCTGGGCGCCGGTGTGCGCTTAACATCGGACTCGGGCGAAGCAATGAGTGTGCACGAGACATCTGGCAGGGCCGGGACGGTTTGGAGGCGACTGTCAGCCGGCTCAACTGATTGGGGTCCTGCAGTTTTGCTCCGAGTACCTCGTCCCTATTGCAAGCCCGCGCTTGTGATCGCGGTCGTGTTCTTGGTCGTTCGCGGATCACTCCAGAGCAGTCTCATGATCACCTGCAGGGCTTCATCTCATCCAGAGTGACCCTGTTGGTCCTTTGCAAGAGCCGGCTTCGTTTGGTGCGACCTAACGTCGTACGGTGGCGCATGCTTGACCGTCGGTGTCCGCGCAAGACGGTCGCTTGAGGCGGCACCGTCGGGCGTTGTCTCTGTCCCACTTCGCTTCTTCTCGCGCTACCGTTCGACTGCCTGCTGGACTGAGGCGACTGGGAAGGCTTGCAGCCAGGCGTACGCCGTGCTCGGACGTAAAATTGGGCACCAGGGGCGGTCAGACGGCCCGTCCTACCGCGGGGAAGAACAACTCAACAGTTGAACGAGACTCGGTGAACGATTACCACACCTCTACTCGATGAGCTCCGAGAAGGCTCGGGGTTGAAGAGAGTGCGGTGCTCAGGCGGCGGGCCAGATACTAGATGCTTGTGATCAGCGTTGGCCGAGCAGTGATCGATCGGCTTCTCTTCACCTCCGTGGCGTTCAGCGTGTCGTAGGATCGAGTGGACTGTCTCCAGCGTGAACAGAGTCGTCTGCGGTCAAGCTTCAGTCGGGGCCGGCCGCGAACAACGACTCCATTTCTGAGCAACTGATGCTAGACATCTCAACGACCACGCCATGTGGGAAGAGGGACCATCAAAGCCTGGCGGTGCTGGAAAACTCCGGCCTCTCGATCGAGTTTGTTCCCTCCAGCGGCCTCCCCCGCACCTAGCGAGGCTCTTTGACTAACTTATCCTGCAGGCGGACTTGCAACTTTGAAGCTGCGATTAACCTTCTCACCCCGCGGGTATTGGGAGTCGGGCAGCGCGATTTGTGCGACATCTTCGGGTTCTCTATGCAGAAGGCTGGCGACAGAACGAGCGATCTCGCAGATGTCAGCAGCAGGTCCAGCGGCCATTGCGGAGGACTGCCACCTGTTGTCAGTTATGGAAATCAGCGGCTATTGGTCACTCACGTCCTTCTTTCCTCTCGAGAATTCGAGGAGTACCTCGACCTGGTGGCCTTCGACAACGGCCGGCTGAGCGTGAGCGAACTGTCCTTCAGTCACACGAATCAAGCTCTTACCACTGACTTGGACCAGGATCTGCGCTGCTGTTGATGTCGTCGACAAGAGTGGCGTGATGCTGGCTCCCTGAGCATCAGTGGACAGAGTTCGAGTCTGACTTGCTCTTCTGCTCCTGGTTTTCGATCGTGCTCGTGACGCCGTCGTCCAAGGTCAAGGCGACTTCGTCAGGCCTAGCGAAGCCGTGATGAGAGCTTGACTCTTGATTCCCTCACAGACTCAGAGGTGCTGGGGCATGCCGAGTCGTACTTGCTTGCAATTGCGTGCACTTGAACGCCGTCCTCGGAGTCAGGCTCGTGCTGCTCCTCGGTGTCTTGCAAGTCATGATCGAGCGCCACCCCTTCGCCGACCCGGTCGGGCTTGCGGGCAGACGGCGTTCCAGAACTGAGAGAAATTCCTGTCAAGCTCGAACAGCACGCGCAAGAAGCCATCATGCGCTCCTTGAAGGCTGCTGGCAAAGGAGCGTGATACTCTTGCAGCGGAGAAGAGGACGCCATCTCGCCGGGCAGCAGGCGAACGCGCTGTGCAAGTTAGCAAACCGCGTCAGGTGGGCTTGACCATCGTCTGCCGATGACACCCAGTGGAAACCTACGAGCGGCTTCTGCGGCAGAGCTGTTGGCATGGGCCTGGATCGTATCGTGCCGCCGGTTGGAGTGAACACAGACAATTTTGGGTGCTTCGTCGTTGAGATCAAACACTTCTTGGCGAGAGTGTGTGTAGAGACAGTGGATAGGTCGGACCGGAGGACAATCGATCTGGTCGGTGCGACCGCCTGCGGAAGGTATCAGCCAAAATTTGTGGGCGAAACCGGCAGGATAGTAAGTACACGGAGACTCAACATCTTCCGGGTCTGCTCCATGGCTCGTTGCTCCGCCGGGGAGGAGTTTTGCTCACCGCTTGTCCGCTGGACGTTGCCCGGGGCGATGGCAATCTAGGTAGGTGTGTCTGTACGGTGAGTGACCGCCGAGGTTGAGCTGACCGACCGTCGATCGTCGACTCGGAGGGCGGATACATCCTTAGGCAGGCCAAGAAGGCATGCAGGCATGATGGCGTCGTAGGCGCAAGCACGAAGGCTCGCTAACACACTCACAGCGCGGAGGGCGGCAGGGCGCAGAGCGCAGCATTGCAGAAGGGCGGGAGGCGAGATCGCGAGAGGCGCGAGAGGACTGTGTGGTTGAGGATGGATGACTGGATCCTCGATCGCACACGCCGCCAGTGTGCCAGTGTTTGTCGGGTCTGGGCCAGGTCGGATTGTCCACACGAGGTGTTCTGACGTGCTGACCCAGCGCCCCCGTCCCTTCCCTTCCCTTCACACACCGCACCGCAGCTAGCTCTGGTGTGTCCAAGCCCCCCACTGCTCAGATCGTTGTGCTCCTCTTCAAGCGCATCGTAAATCCTTGCAATCACTCACAGTCATGTCGAACGTAGCTACATGCACATCCAATGTCCACCCAGGCTGATCGACTTGCACCAAGCATTCCATATGTGGTGCACGCGCCGACTACCCAGCATGTGGTTTTCAGGGTTCCGGAACTCAGGGTGCCTTGGCGCCCCGATCACCCTGACCCAATGTCGCGCTATCGGCAGCAGGGGATTCCTTCTGCGATCCTGGCCTACTGCACGCTGGATCGCTGCATGCACAAGAGATCAACAGTCCGGATAGCGCAGTGATGGAGTCGTACCATGCATCCCGTACAAGGAGTCACATCTTACAGCGCAGGCTTACGTTGCAGCAAAGGCCTCGCGTACTCTATGCGTGATGGAAGCCCCACGACCGGCTTTGCCACACCCCGCAGTTCGCTGCTCGTGTGACTGGGCGGCGGGATAGGGTTCTAGCTCCCATTTAACAGCCGACTGGACGGCAGTGCTCGCCCTGCTGCCTGCGTTCAGTGCGAAGGCGACGTCTCCGTGGGCATCCTCTGGTGTCACTCTCGACATGCATCAAGCTTTTGCTGATTCTCTGGGACGGGCAAAGCCGCCAAAGAGACGCATGGATGCAACGCTCGCGCGGCCGCGCGCGGGCTGCACGGACAAAACGGAAATGAGGCACGACACTACGCCCGACCATTATAAGCTCTGCGGAATCCGTAACGAGTGTGCGCCGTCTCGGCCGACGTGGGTCTGCGACTTCATCCTCCGTGATGCGGCCCACAGTGCGTCCGTGTCCTTGTTTGTGCACCATGCACCTGGGACGGCTGTCCAGCGTACGATGAGCCTCGAGCGATCGAGCTCCAATATACCGTGCTCATTTCGAACGTCGTGCTCGTGAGACAGCTGGACAGCTGGACAGAATCGTTCGGGTCGCCATTCGGAGTGGCGTCATTGGGTCAGGGACGATTGCCGCCAGTGCGCTGTGGAGGCGGAATGTCTAAGATAACTACCGGGTTGTCTGCACGTTCGCTTGCTTCGCCTATCGGTGATCGAGGAGCTAGACAGTCGACGAAACGGCGGCCACAACTCCATGATGCGATGCGCATGTCTGTGAGTTGCGAGCATGCCATGCCTGTTCGCAGAACGCGCTCGCTCGAGCATACGGATGCTGATGGGTTATCGAGCTGTCGGGATGAGTTTTGATCGAGCTGGTGGTCGGTCCAAATTGACCATCGCCCGTCTGTCCGTGACTCAGATCTGGCGGGCGCAGGCAGCGTGGTTCAGCCTGTCGGGATGTCCTCCTCACGGCCAGATGTTCTGCGCCCTACGCCCCACCTACTGCTTGCTACTAGCGTACAGCGACCACTCCGCATGCATTCCTGCATGCATGCTTGCCTGCCCGCCTGCAGTCTGCTTCCGCTGGTCGCAGTCGTCGTCGACATGTAACAACTCGAGCTTGATCATCATTCTTCCCCCCTCACTCACTACCAGTACTCGGTAACTCTGCCGTGCTCTCTACCCCTCCCACCATCTTGAACACCAGTTTCCTGCTTTCTACACGTTTCTTTTCTGTTCCTTCTCCTCTCAGTCCCTGCAGCCGACATACAGCATGTCCGTCACTTCGACTACTTTGTCATCTTCCGCTCCTCGGAAGCGGCGCCACCGAAGCAAGATCCGGCCCCCAGTAAGTTCACAGGCTGGTCGCCCTCAACGCACATGTGCAAGCTGTTTGCTGACACACCCCGAAGAGCAGCCAAGACGACCTGAAGCAGAGGGCCCCGCGTGCCCTGCGCAAGGTACAGCGAGCCATGCGGGCGCTCAGCAAGGTCACGAGCCAGCGGACCAGAGGCCCAGCTTGGGAGGTAGACTTTGCGACTGCTCAGCGCCGCTTGGAGCGCGCCAACTCGGCCATGAGCCGTCTCTCCCGCGCTTTGAGTAGGTTGAACGCCCTACCTACCTCTAGTGGCCAGGCTGAGTCGGGATCGACTTCGTCACCCCGTAGGGCCCCACGTGCGACACCTCCGCCAGCTTTGCCTGTCGTTCCACGAGCCTCGCCACCGCGCCCGGATACCCCGACCCCGGCGCCAGCCTCTCGTTCTCCCACCCAACTGTCTCAGCGGCCAGATCCAGCACGGTCTCCACATTCACCTTCCGCCTCCGACACGGCTCTTGGAGACCTCCCGCTTGTCTTGACTGGCAGCAGCGCCGCGCTGTACGAGTGATCGATGGAACCTACTCTATCGCGCGCGTTCCAAAAAGCGCGATTGCAGCGGTTCATCAAAGGGGAGGAGCCGGTGAGTGGCATGTGGCAGGTACGAGGTGCTGACAACAGGCTATGCTCGACTGGGAGGAAGGCCAAGCTCGCTAAAGCCCGGTCTTATCTTGTTTACTTCCTCTTCTCTCGCTTTCGTTGTTTCTCCCTCTCTGCTCGCCTTCGCCACGCATATGGGCGCCCTGAAGCTGAACATCGGCACGCCGCTGTCGCCTAAGTCCAAGGCGCAGCAGAAGGTCATGACCGCCATCCGACGCAAGAGACGGCGAGAAGATCCTCCAACGCCAGAAGAATCTCCGTCACCGCGGAGCAAGGTCAGTCTAACCAGCTTGTCATTCAGAGAGTCCTGTTGTTATGCGGCCTGCTGACACACGTAGCGACATCCTGCCATATTCGCGCTAGGCAGAGAAAGGGACTTCTCGCTGATCAAGGACGACGACAACCAGGCCCAACGCCATGATCCGAGCGAGATTGTCCCTCAACCCTCCTCCAACGGCGTCGAGGTAGGCTCAATCGGGCCGCCCCAGATCACCGCTGGCGGCTCCGCAGCCGTATCCATCGCCGTCGCCTTCCCCAAGAGCGGCCGTGCCCCCGACGGAGGCCCTCTGGTGGGCGTTCCTCAGCCGGCCAGAGCCCGGACGAGAACGGATTCGGAGGTGAGAACATCCAGGTTATATCAATTATGGGTGGCTGACAACCAGCGCGCGAAGGCATCTCTGGGCTCACCGGCCGCGGACCTCTCGGCTGCGGCCGCACAGAGTGCTTCGAGTGGTCCCGGCCATCACGAAGAATCTCATCCGTCCTGGGATCCAGACAGTCTCGATCCGTCATCTTCTGCCCGAGATGATCGTGATCGTGGGGGAGCGATGGGTGAGTGCGAGGGCAGGCGAGAGTAACGCGATCCAGTCTGACGAACAGGTGTCGATTCCCCTGGGGTCGGAACAAGTCCATATGGTCTCGCACGACAGTGTTCTCCGAGTCGTTGCACGACGTCGGGGACTGGGCAACCTCGACAGGGTCCTCCTACCATTCCCGCGGGAGATGCTCGAGCCGTTCAGGATTCCTTGTCACAAGAATCTGCTCGCTCGACTGCGCGTTCTCTCCGTCCCATTCACCGACTTCCACCCCGAAACGGCCTTCATCATGGTGGTGGTTGAGCAGGGGTCCTTTACCTTTGGCAGAGGACCTCTGGAAGGAGGAGCGCAGGTGCACTACAATTCGTTTGTCGTGCTCCTTCAGGTGCTGAAGGAATACCAGGATGCCGTTTCGCTTTCCGAGGGGTAGGCGTCGATAATGTGCTGTAGGATGAAACAAGTTCCTTTTCATGCTGTCCACTGTTGATAGTCAACAGCTACTCACCACTGGCGGTCATCGAAGCCGAACGATCGGTCGTCTGCTCCCGAGGAACGTTAGTCCGATTATCATTCAAACCCGTCCTTTGTCCTTCCCTTGTCATAGTGGTATTACCTGGGTCAGTCACTGAGGCATCCATCGTCGCCAAGCTCTTCCGTGCATCACCTCTGCAGCACTGAAGTAGACCTAGGGCGCCGGCAGAATCGTCATGTCTGCGCCCGCGTTGTCTACCACAAGCCACTTGACAGGCCTCAAAGATCATGCACGCTGGTGTCTGACGGATCCGTTGGAAGGAGAGGAGTGCCTCCTACATAAGCTGCTGGCATCGCTGCGCAGCCCGAAGCATAGCACGGCATGTCAACCAAAGAGCACTGCTTGGAGCTGTGCCGATCAAAGCGGCAAATCAGAGTCTCCCGGTGCTGCCGAGCGGCGTGCGCTGCAGCCGCAAGCGCACCTCACACCGGGTTGCTTCGCCTGCTTCTGTAGACTACTTTCGCCACCATATGCTTGGAGTGTCCAGCTTTTGCCCGCCCCAGTGTCACACGCGCCCTCAATCTACGATGCGGAATGGACCAAGGATGCTGTGCTGAAGCTAGACGACTCATGTCTAGCCCATCTAGATCTTGCCGATTTCCTACACCGGCAAGTGACGATGATCACAGAGCCAGGCACTGCTGTTTACCGGTGTCTCCGTTGGCTGCACACCAAGATAATGATCATGAGTGGTCTGTGCGCTTACTTGTTCCGCTCTGTCGGGTGCACTGAGCAACTCCGACGGGCATCATTCTAAGATTACTCTGTGGAAAACGAGGCAGCGATCAGAAGGCCGGGCGTGTCGCGGCTCCCGGGACCCCTACTCGTGAGGCTTAATGGATTCACGACGCTGCACGGCCCCGAAATAGAAGGACGGAGGAGCAAACTGTGGTGGTAGCGCATGCTTTGGAGAAGGCTTTGGCGGCGACTGCCCGTGAGCGTTTCCTCCAGTCATACACGCTGGACCCAATGCTATCCCCGGGCGATACAGTGTTGACCGGGCCGCGAGCCGTGGAGCTGTGTTGGACAGCTCTCCTGACCGTCACCGTTTGTGCTGACGCCGTGGGCGACGACCTGTTGTGCATTAAGTAGCACTGCACGTCAACCAACTGATCTGACCCTGGCAGGAGATGTGACCAAACCGTGAACATGCTGTATTCTCTGCGTGCAGAGAGTTCGTGGTTGGAGACGCCCCGTAGGAAAGTTGGTGGCGTTGGTGGTGTCGGATTCGAGCAGGTGTACCACAACACAATTGCATCCAGAATCACTGTATTACTCTATTCAACAAACAACAATCTAAGCTCTTCAAGGCAACTTGGAGAAAGAGAACCGGGGCCTCGTGCTGGGCTGCTCAGCGGCAGAAGCGGGGTCAGGTTCGGGTTGACGACTTATACTCGTTTTGTGCCCGAGGCGGTCACTGCGGACACTGTCAACCCACCCGATCCAGTCGTCCCAGTCCTCCTTCTGCTTGCCCGCAAGATCTTCTCGCCCAAACGTGAACGGATCCTCGTTCTGGGGGTGAGCCCGAACGAAGACTTGATCGGAGGACGGGAAGGGCGTGTCAGGAGGCACGAGGATCCGGAGTCTGAGCGACACCGTCTTCTTCCCCGCTGCGACCTTTCGCACTGCGCGGCGGGGCATTGGTAGACAGATCCTCTTGATGACTGTTGCTCCTGGTCCGTGCAGACGAGTATTCAAACGCCGCACGGTCGCCTCGTCGGCGGTGTACTCCCACTTCGCGGTGCGCAACCGGACATTGACCTGTCGTCAGAATGGCCCTTTCTCTCTCTTTAGCCGCCTTCCACTCACGGTCTTCTCTCCCGCCGCGAGAGCCAGGTAGTCGATACGCTGACGCGCCGAAGAGATCGCGCCGTTGTCTTGGTCCTGACTGTCAGTAACCCATTGAGGCGTGAAGATCGAGCTTACCAGTTCCGAAATGGGCTCATCGCCAGCTCCCGAAGTCTCCGAGGTCGACTCCGCGTCACTGACGCTCGCTTCCCCCGCAACAGCAACGGCGTCGCCGGCTTTGTCCTCACCCTTCGGGTACAGCTTCAGTCCGGGGTGAGTCTGAGTGTCAGTCACTTCTTGAAGACTTAGAATCGAGCTTACCGGCTCGCGGGCCAAATCGACGCCACTTCTGTCTTCGCCACTGCTTGCCCCGACTGATGCAGATCCTCGGGCCTCGTCCTGCAGGTCTGCGACCGCTTCCAGGGCCACCCTGGTGCCGAGGTCGGGCGTCGGTGTTGCCGAGCTCCTCGCAGGGCGCCTGTAAGGGTGTGTTCCCTGGAGCCTGGCGCCAGTCGTCGGCTGTTGTATCTGCCAGCATAGCAGACCGTAACCAGTGTGTCTGTGAGTAACAAGAATAGACTCACTGGGGGTGCCGGACCCGGACCGGGAGAAAGTATGGGCTCCTCGAGTTCAGCGCGCCGGCGGTTTCGCCTGTAGAGACGCAGCTCTCGCTCCTATACACATAGCGGCAGGGCCATCAGACTTCTGGCTGCTGGGGGACCTAGCTGAAGAACAGGGGTTGGCGGGGCGGGCGAGGCGGATGGGGCGAGTGCGAACACTGGAGCGAGCCCGCGGTCGACGTCTCCGGGGGAAGGTCGCGTCGGAACTGACGCGGGTGCGGTGTCTGCTGGGGAGCGGTGGGAGTGCGAGAGTCGGTGGTAAAGCGAGAAGGCGAAAGCTAGCTTCTGGGCTGCTGCTGATGACTCTTGGCGCTACCGAACCAGTCCTTACAGAAGGTCGGGTGTGAGCAGCAGGATTCGAACAGGAATGCTCGTGTGTCGGGCTTTGCGGATTGGATCAATGTACTGGCGAGGGAAAGGCAACAGCACGCGTCCCACCCGGTTCCCGCGGAGTGCCGTCAAGCGGTCAAGCAACGGCTGATGCGTCGCGATCGTGCAAGTATAGGAGGCGAACTGAATAGTAACCTGGCATTAGGTTGAATAACGGGCGCCTTTCCACAATTTCACTCACCGCTCGTCCCCCGTTGCACAACTCCTTCAGCATGCGGCGCATGTGGCCAGTGACCACCTCGCGGTTTGTCTCCGCAGCGTTGCCCTTGCCGTCGGAGCTTAGGCGGTCCGGGACGCTCGAGGAAGGGTCCATGTTGGTCTTGATCACCTGGCCCATCCTCGTGGCCGATGTCCGTGCCCGCTTGCTCCTCGTTTCGGGTTGCGCAGGGCCGGGGTGCGCAGAGACGCCAGGCGACGCCGAGGAACCAGACTCCCGTGGTTTTGATGGGCCAGGTTCTGGCTGCCCAGCGGAGAGACCGCCGCCGGTAGAGTTTGAAGAGGGGGGTCGGCTAGGGGCGGCCGACGCTTTCGCGTCCCTCTTCAGGCGAGCCTCGCGCAGCTTCTTGTCGAACAGCTGCTGCGCTGTGCCGCTGGGGCCGTACCTGCTGTTGAACGTCACCGCACGGCCGCTCTTCGGTTTCTAAACAGTGAGCGCCGGCGGCTGCCCAGTGCGAGGCCGCTCTTCCCCCGCTGGCTCTGTCAGGTGCGCCGTCTGCACACGTTAGGATCATTCATTGCATTGATATTTGGGTGGCTAATCAGCGGCCAGACTTACGGTTGTCGTAGGGCGGGTCGGCGAGGGGGCCAGATTCGGGGTCGGCAGGTCCATCGAGCGCCGCCTCATGCGGATGAACTGCAGGATGTCCTCCGGTTGGTCGTCCGAGGGACACCAGGAGGCCAACTTGCCCAAGCACTCCGGTGTGGGCGGCGACGGCGGCGGCTGGCGTTCGGCCCGGCTGGGGAAGCGAGGGATCCAAGCGAAGTCATCCTCTTCCTCGTTCAGATGGTCGGCGCTGCGCTTCATCTTGGGAGGGCGGTGCAATCGAGTGTGCTACGGTTGGTGTGCTTAGTACAAGGTAGGGAGAGTCTTGGTCAACAGAAAACTGGGTGATTGTATGGTCACGAAACTGATTGCTAAGAAGATAGCTGACAATCGGTTGACGGTGTGAAACGGAGGCAAATGATGGGCGAGACACGGATGATATAGTCTCGATTACGCTCCAGAGTGGCAGAGTGCCGCAGCCGTAAGGCTGGCTCAGCAGTGCATGCCAATGCTGCCGGCACCTCAAGTGCTCCAGGGCTATGCTCAAGCTGCGCAGATAGTCGACGTCAAGCACTTGCGCAATGAAGCCGATAAAGCGGAAGCCTGTGCTTTACTGTGCTTGAGGCCGAAGGAGGCGGGGAGAAAGGTTATCTGCACTGATGGGTGTGCCCCCCTTAACTCAACCAGCTGTACAATACCAAAGGCCAGGAGAAACACAGGGTGGTCTGGGAAGCGCATGCCAAGAACCACATCCTTCTGTCTTGTGCTGTTGCACTTGTCAATCGGTGCACTGTACTCCAGGACCCAGGGGCGGCCATAGCCCTTCCAGTGCACTCTCGCACGCTCCCACCTGACCAGGAGAGAGCCCTTAGTGATTTGGTAGTGACAGATAGCTACTGTGATGGGATTGCATCTCCCAGTAGACTGAGAGGTATCAAAGCGGATGGGAGGGGAGCGATCTCCAAGGCAGATCGCCCCCCCCCCCCCTGCAAGCATACAGTGTTCTGTAAACTAATTGTTCCAGCAGTCGAGCCTCTCCAGCTCGACTGTCAGCTCAACCTGGGCCACAAACGGATTCGTTCTTCGACTCAGACCAACCTGGTCATGACCGGACTGCCTCATCCGAATCCGGTTCTGGCTACGAAGAGGTGGCACGACCTCTTCTTCCTCTTGTGAGCGACCCCAAAGGGGCGTTGCTGACACGAGAGGGTAGGTACGTTGACTCTGTCACCGATGATAATTGCTGGGTCAGTCACTAGAGCTAGAAGCAGCCACGGAGCAACTGACTTGGGGAGAGAACCTTCTGCGGCACACTTGCAGGACCACCCAGATCTGCTCTTCTGCCGCACACTGAAAAACCACCCAGATCTGCTCACCAGTTCACTGATCTCCACGAGCTCCGACCGGCAGAGGCCAGGCAGGCAAGGGGCACGTCCTCCATTATCCTGTCCATCCCTTCTAATCAGATAGCAAGCGCCCACCAATCTTCAAGCGCATGCGACTGTGGGGCAACCGCATGTCGAAGCTTGACGCCAGAAGGCGCTACAGTGAGAAATCCGAAGTCGAGGAGCTCACTATCGCCCCCGACGACTGCCCCACGAGGTCGAGGAGGTCTTGCAGGCGTGAGAGCCGACTTGGAAGGGCACTGAGGGTTTACAGGCTTTCCCCACCCACCAGGCCGTAGGCTTTGGCGCCTGCTCGCAGTCTCCAACCCCCCTGTACAACCCTATCATCTCCGCGACGGACGGTGATCACGGGCAGTCGGCTCGACCTCATTCCCTGCCGCTAATGCTCGGCCCTGCAAGCCCTGCTGTCTGGTCTGTAGATGTTGCGGGGAGTCCGTGACCCCCAAGCGGGTACCGTCACCTGGGCCACCGTCCTCCTCTGAAACTCCTAACCTCTGGGAGCTTGGCAAGCTTCGGCATTAAGGTGATCGAGGTGTGTTGGTCCACAGTCACTCTGCAATAAGCCAAAAGTGTCAGCAATGTTAGTGTGACTTTCTATGAGCGACCTGACTCCATGTGCTGAGGATGAGGATCGCCCATTCCACCCTTGGAGCGGTGGGAGGCTCACTGGGCACGGGGTCGCGGAACGGCAGGCTTAGCCCCGGCTAAGGAGTACGCCTCGTCCAAGAGCCACGGGTGGATGATGCCGCCATACATCCTGTCTCCTAGAGGGTTGCTGGTGGGCAGCAGAGAGTGAGGGGGCCGACGGTGGGACGAGAAGCCTAGATGTGTGCTCGAACCCAAACGAGGAGGGACGGGGGAAGAACATTTCGAAGGCAAGCGACAATGCGAGGGAGACTTATGCGCCCAACTCTGCTGTTGTCCGACATTAAGCCTAACTCCAGCCCATTTTAGGTGGAACGTTGTGTCGGGGCATCTGAGGATCTGATGGGCGCGGCAGAAAGACGGGCAGGTTGTTCATGCCTGATAGCTGCGTGCTGATGACGTGCGGTCGATGGCCAGCCAAGCGACGTTCAGCGCAGAGCCCTCAAGTACTAGCCACTTCGCGTCGAGATAGGTTCGTGTCGTCGCCGGAGTCTTCAAAGAGGCGGGGCCTACTATGTTAGAGTGGGGGGGGGGGGGCTCAGCGCGAGCTCATCATTGAGAGCCTCGACACCATCCTGCCCTAAACATTGGACCCCTTCGTTGCGGACGGGGCCCAGCCCATCATGCGCCGGCACCATCGAGCTGGTCGGACAACAAGCGGCCAGAAGCAGTCGAGCTTGGCTCAGGCTCTCTGATAGCAGCCTGAAAGAAGCGTACCACCAAGCGCGGAGGGCCGAACGACCATCCGCTCGCCCAGCTCCTGGCTGCGTCGTGCTCCTCGCAGCGCTTGGGCACAGAAGACATGAGTAGGCTGGAGACGCTTGAGAAGCCGCATGTCGAGAGAAGGAAAGACGTTGTTTGCTTGAAAGCGCTAGAAGCGGAGAAGAGACAGCTGCGTTTAGTGTTCGATGGGTACTGCAGTCTCTCAGCGTTCGAGGGTAGGGAGTACCAGTCAGTCTTGCCCGGTGGCATGAGTGTCGCATTGTTCCGAAGGTCGGCCCGGTGAGCTCGGCCTGTTGCAGCTAGCTCAGTCGACGGTGCTTTCATGCATCTGTGCTGCATGACAATCAGTTGATATAATCGAAGACGTCTATGGGTCCCAACATTCGGTAGCTACTGTCAGTCCGGTTTCTTGTCTTGTTTTTCTCATCAGCAGCTTGCGACTCTCGTTCAGAGTCCACTGCATCTCATACCGCGACTGAGCACTCCCCACCGACGTCCTGCACCGTCGTACGGATGCGAAGACTCTGCTCTGAGAGTTGCGAGCAGTCGTGAGCCGATTTGACAAGCTGTTGTTCCGCGTTTCGGCCGGTTACGAGTTAGACGGGGCGATCGGGCAGGAAGGCAGGATGACAAGCGGTTCCGATTAGCGACGAGAGGTTTCCAGTTGAAGCGGAGGGGCGCGGAATCGAGGGGAGGGGACGCGAGTCGTGGGCTGATCGACGTTGTCGACTTACGCTGCGATGGTCGGAGCGCGGTTTCGTGAGGGTCTAGCCGTGGTGAGCTGCTGAGCTGGCAAGACGATGGGAGCGTGAGCAAGACGTTGTCGATCGAAGGCTCTCATCGCCGCCCAGCTGTCACATGCCGCATCATGCCCAGTTCAATCTGGGTGGCCAGGAGGAGGATTGCTCAGCCGACACGGGGACATTACACAGGCTTGCAGACAGGCTTGCAGACAGGTAGGCAGGCTCGCAGGCCCGCAACGGAACAGGCGGGTGCAGCTTGTGCAGACGGGAAGGCAAGAAACTGGCAGCGAGGTCTCGTACGGTACGGAGATAGCACCATGGCCGCCAAGGGGGCGCAGTGAGAGAGAACAGCGGGAGAGCAGCTGGCTAGCCGTCAGGCTTCAGGCCGACGGGCTCTCTCAGCTGCCTTGCCATGTGTGGATGCCGGATGACCGGACCGACAACCTCGCCCCCCCATTGTTTATCGAGTCTGGACCGGGGTCATGCGGTCACGGGAGAACACAAGGCGCAGCCCTAGTCCCCGCAGCTGCACAGCTCAGCTACGCCAGGAGTGTTAGGCAGCGCGCGCCATCACGCAGCACCCAAGCATGACCACGCGCGATCGCGCAGTTCAGGTCCCACGCCCCACACTGCCATGCACGCTCACACTTCGAGCGCATGATGTGCTCTGGAGCACTGCAGCTCCATGCATATTTCATGGACCACACATTGCAAGGCTCTACTCATGCTGATTGCAGCAACGAGGTTGCGGGATGACCGATCGATTGGCATCGCATCGACACCTTGGTGCAGTTGCAGTGCGCGATCGAGCGATCGAGCGGCCGGGTGGACTGGCAGACAACCCGGCCTGAAGGCCGTCAGGGCGCCAGCGCGCCAAGACATTGGACACCCACTGCGTCATAGTGCCCTAGCGTGCCGATCAACCCTGACCCAAGGACGCCACCCCGGCTGTTGGAACCGGCGCATTCCTTCTGCGGATCCCCCACCCTGACTATCGCATGTACACGTCCGTCCGAGGTCGCATGCACATATGCACAGTCGTTGTCGCACACAAGAGACGATAACACAAATGAGCATCAGATCAGATCGCTTCGTGCATCATGTGCAAGGAGATGCATACTGGAGTGAAAGCGAGTAGACCAGCGAAGCTGCGGACTCAGTGCATGACGAAGGCGCCCCCAGCTGGCCAGATCCGGTACACACGCCACCGACCACTCGAGTGAGGCCCGAATTTCAGGTCCGAGCCTGCTTCTCCTCATGGTCATCACGATCCTCACAATCCTCACCTGCGGTCGAGGCCTGCCGGGGCGTCTGGATCCCCACTACTGCCGCCGCGGGAGAGCGGAACCAAGCACAAGCAGCTATGATTTTTCGCTCCCATAAGATACCAGTACGCATGCTTGCATGCATTGGAGGAAGCCGCTACTCTGGCCCAGACGGCGCAGAACCAGATAAAGATGCTGTCCAAGTGATAAGCGTAGGTCAAGCAGGGGGAGGCGGTTGGAGGGTCGGCTGTGCCGAGCTACCGCACTTTAGATCAATGGGTGGCCGACCAAGATAGGGTTTAGCTCCCACTAGCCACGAGACTAACGGGTGCATTGCGGCGCTGCCTCATGCTGCCTCCCTCCGGCTGAGTCGAGCGTTTCACCAGGTGATATGCATCGAACAAGGTTGTTCTTTTGCATGCGCATCGTTCGACGCACGCGGTTGGGTGCTGGCTGCTCAGAAAAAAATGAGATATCTTTCCACACCGATGAGGTGAAATGCAGGATGCGCCAGCGCTGGCGTCCAACGCGTCCGTTGAGAGACCTGAGGCGTTCCACTTTCAGACCACTGATCGGTGCCGGGCTGGGCCAGGGGAGTCGAGCTCTGCGCGCTCTGTCTACACTCTGCGCACCTGCGTGTCGTCCCGGAACCCCGACCCGGAGCTAACCCGCACCCTTGGCTCTGACGCTTTGCCGAAGGTCGCAGGCACGGTGGATGGGAGTATGACTGGGGCGCTCGATCGATCGTCAATCCGAGGGGCAAGCGCTCCGTTTGTGATTTCGGTTTTCCGGGCACAGACGCTGACACGCGGTCATGCAGTCGCGCAGCCGATGTGTCAAGCACACTCTTGCGCTCTTGCAGAGTCACCCCGTACCCCCGGCCAGCAGTGGATGCCACAGCCCAACGCCCAGCAGGCGAATCTTGTAAGCCCGTCCTCGCTTCCGTCGTCGCCCTCTGTCCTCTCTGTCTTGCTAGGCTGTCTTGGCGAGATATATTTGACCCTCGACTCAGAGGTGGCGTCATTGGGCTAGGGGTGATCACCGCCTGGCCGCAGTGGAGGCGTGATGGCCAAGATAACGTACGGGTCGTCTGGGGTTCGTCTGTCAATGCACCACGGCCTTCGACTGAAGCTTCTGCTACGAGCACAAGCCCGAGTACATTGCTGATCCGCAGAGCCTGCAATAATTCTGCACATTTGGGATTGCACGTAACTCACACCGGTGAGATGTGATCCAAAGAGGAGGCGATCGATCGCTAGCCCATCTGTCTGTAGCCCAGCCCACGTTCACACTGACGACCTGGCCTAGCTTGCGCCGTCATCCTGCACAGATTCCACTGAGCCTTTCACCTTCCTGCAGCCCTGCGCCCTTGCGCCCTAGCGCCTCTCGCTCTAGCGCCTCTCGCTCTACCCTCCCCGACAGCTCTCGCGCTTCATGTGTGCCAGCGCTCCTTCATGCCTGTGAATGCCTCCGCCTCTCTCCGCGCAGCCCTCCCCAATGAGCTCGACTCCATCTGCTACGTCTGTTTTCAACACCACCACAACAACAACACCACCGGCCCTCTGTTGCCAGTGCCTCCCCCTTAGCTTTCCCCTATTCTTAAGTTCTCTGTCGATGCCAGGCCCTGTGCGCTTCTCAGCGGACATTGCTTGGCTGCGCCTGCAGCGCCGATCTGGGCCGCTGCCCAAGTACGTGCCCTTGCCCCCGAGGTCTTCCTCGGCCGCAGTAAGTCTCAACTACTGGTATTCCATGGAGAACGCCTGCTCCATGAACAAGCCTGCTGACACATCTAGCCTGACCTGGTTGCTGAACCCGGTTCAGGGCCCGCATCGTCCCCGGTTTCTGGCGCCGCTCAGGTGAGTTTGACCTGCTCGCGTTCCGTAAAGAATACTCCCTCGTTGAGCCTGCTGACACACCTAGGAACAGGACGAGGAGGGTACCGCCGCCGGATCAGAGTCGGCTCCCCTCGGCGACAACGACCTCGAGGAGCAGGTAAGTTTGACCTGCTCGCATCCCCCGAGACCCGCACCGTGATCAAGCCTGCTGACACATCCAGGTCGATACAGCATCAATTCCTGTCACCGGCGTAGGTGTGACGGCACCTGCAGATGGCTCCGGCGCCAGCGAGGCCGAGGTTCCTCCCGCAGCTCGTTCCCTCTTCCCGACCACGAGGGAAGAATGGGACCGTCGAGCCCGGGAATGGAGGAGGTCCAACGTTCCACCACTCCCTCCACCAGGCGAACCTATGTCGCCGGAGTGGATCACCCAGTTCCGGAACAACCTCCACCCTATGTGGTGGCCTCGCCTGCCCGACGCCAAGCCGCCCGGTCAAGAAGCGGTCGGCGCGCCAGGTGCAGCAGCTCTAGGATCTGTGGCAAGCTCCTCCTCCTCCCCCTCCGAGTCGGCCGGTCTGTCGGTACCGGTGGCCCCAGCTCCGTCTTCCTCACTACTGTCGTCATCTGGCCCGGCGTCTTCAAGCTCGACATCACCGTCATCTCCGGAGTGCAGTAGCTTGATCAACTCCTCGTCCGTCTCGGCGTCCGGTCCGTCTTCCTCACTGCCGTCGTCATCTGGCCCGGCGTCTTCAAGCTCGACATCACCGTCATCTCCGGAGTGCAGTAGCTTGATCAACTCCTCGTCCGTCTCGGCGTCCGGTCCGTCTTCCTCACTGCCGTCGTCATCTGGCCCGGCGTCTTCAAGCTCGACATCACCGTCATCTCCGGAGTGCAGTAGCTCGATCAACTCCTCGTCCGTCTCGGCGTCCGGTCCGTCTTCCTCACTGCCGTCGTCATCTGTTCCGGCACCTTCAGCCTCTGCGTCGACGTCCGGTGCTACAACGAGAGGTACAGGTCGTGGGCGGCGAGGGAGGGGATCGAAGTCACTTCCGAGTACCCAGATGCGCGTGTATCGGGACCTTGTTAAAGGTAGTAAGGTGGTGAGTGATACATAGAATGGTTGGAGTCTCAATGCTAACGACAGGTCTCGATCCGTTCGGACCGGTCCTCCTGGACCTTAACCGATCACGGTCCCACCGTGGGGTATCTATCCCATAGGTTCCAAAGGACACGCAAGCGCGTCGAGCTGCCCTTCCCTCCTGAGGAGCTGGAGCGCCTTCGAGCGCGAGGAGGCAAAAAGATCACCCTAGGCTTGCGACTGGTGGTGACCCCCGGCACCTCGCTGAAGCCCACATCTGTGTTCCTAAGTGTGTACGAGGAGGGCGCTCCATCCTTCTTTTTTGGCCTAGAAGACCTGCCTGTGAACCTCCACAATGCCTTCGTCGGGTTCTCAGACTGGGTAACAGTTGCTAACGAGATCGAGATGGAGGACCCCTAGTATCAGTACATGTTATTATGCCATTATATTACCTGGTTAGATCGTGTCTTCTGCCTGTATTGGCGCATGAGCAAACTGATCTCCTCCCGCAAGAAAAACAGGCTATGAGTTATCCCAACTCCTGGCAGCTGCCTTCGACCCCCAAGCTCTAAACCACTTCTCAAAGCGATCCGGTGGCTGTTTTAAACACCACGTACGTTCAGACTCGCTGCAGCGGCCCCATGCACCATGATCACTCTCGCCTATCGGGCTACATAATGAGCCGCTTGGGCCGGAACAGGTGCAGGTCCAGTGAGAAGATTAAAAGTCCCGTGACTATACGTCCTGTCGACCAGCGTCCTCCCGAGTGGGAAAGGGACTCTCTGTGCTATCATGCAATCGAAAACGCTGAGCAGGTCCTCGTAACCGATTGCATCTCAGCTAGTGACGATTTTGGCCCAGGCGCACATAGCCCTGAGGATGTTTCGCCAACAACCTGCTTGTAGCAGACTCCTGCTGAGCAAGTCATCCTACATACTAAACCGGGGTACCACGGAAAGTCGAACGCCACCGTAGCGAACAAACTTGAATCGCTCATTGCTCAACCCAGACTGCTTGCAAGCTTCTGAAAGTTGCCCGAACAACTGCGGATCAAGCAATGCGCGCATGCTGCAACTTTAATGCGGCTGCTCTGAACGATTTTGAAGTTATCATCAATCGAAATTTGTTCGACTCTTGACTTTTGCTCCTAGGGTGGGATCTGGCGTTCGACCGCCCATGGTACCCCGGTTCACTCCACTCAGGGAACGAGCTCGCTCCACCGAGCTGGGCGTCATTGTCAAGCGAAGATTCCTGCAGCAATGATAGCGAAGCAAGGGGACGGTGGGATGTGACTCGGCGTTCTACCCGGAGGGGACGTAACCGCATCTCCTCTCCGTATGAAGAACTGAAGATGGTGAGAGTTCTCCCATGAAATCTCTCCCCGATCAGTGGACGTGTCCGCGATCCTATCAGCAGTTGATGTCAAGCGTACCGAGCGGTGCGAGATCGCCCACACGTTGCCAACATTGCACGTAGGTGAAACCTCGCTCCGCTCCCAGTGGTAGGCGTCGATAACCCCGTTTGCAACGCTGGCGCCGTGAGTGACCGTCGTTGACATCCTCGCCGCATGCAGTGGACACCGGCTGAGTGTTGCTGCTCCAAGTGTTCAGCGCTGACCCAATGTGTCCACTTTGCCCTCATCACTTCGCAGCTGACATGACGGCAGCTGATCCCCTCGGGCACGGAACAGACGTATGGGGGGCGACTCTAACTAAGTACATGATTTATGCCGCTTCCTATACACCTGGCACTTGTTGCCCTCGGGCATTGTCGACGACAACCTAATGGTCTTCGAACTCTATCAGGATGACATCAACGCCTCTTCAGAAGCGAGAGCAGAGGGGAGTCAGTCCTGTTGGTGGGAGGTACGTAGACGGCTTGCCCAAGAACCGGCCGGCATCAGAGGAGGATTTGAAGACTCTCCAACGTGGGGATGTGATGCGTCCGCCTAAGGGCAGGAGATCACCACGCGCTTCCTGGTCCCTTTTCACACGTTTTAACGGGCGGGGCACGCATACCTAGCCATTGTTCTCAGACTTGAAGTGTCAGAGTGCCTTCCACGAAAGGCTACGATGAGGTTTGAGCTTACCATACAGTATCGTTGATTTCTGAGGTGCTGGGGAGGATCACTACCCTTCTCGTCGGCCTTGCTCACCTGCTCACCGGACCCTTGTGGTTCATCGACCCAAGCGCAATGCCGTACCCATCGTCGTGGCAGTTAGGTGAGCCCTCCAATCTGCCTTCCGCAACGTTTTCAGGTGACTCCTGCACAAGATTGACCCAGTCGGACGAGCGAACACGCTGAATAGCCCCCCCCCCCTGAATCGCGGGCCACGGCCTCTCCTCCGCTGGTGGCACTGACGAAGGTGGATCGGGGGGCAGGTGTCTGTTCGGAATGTTCCCCAACCTCCGTAAGAGTTACGAGGATTAGACTGTCAGGTCTGATACCATTCCAGCAACTCGATCCGAAGCTGAAACATGGTCTGCTGTAGTGCCGGACTGAGTGTGACGAACCCCACGGCTGGTGAGGCGCCACGTAGAGTATGCGGGGGCGGACGCTCATCGACCCTACCGTTCTCCTCGATGGGTGATAATTCTGTGTATTCGAACAGGTCGCTGTGGGAGGCGGTTCTTGTGCAAGTGCGAACAAGACAGACAGCCATCCGCTTTCAAAGCGAGAAGGTTATGTCTCAGAGATGATGGCGACCCCAAAGGAGGTGGGATGGGCCCGGAGGGACTTTTGCACACGCTCACCTCCCTTTCCCCCGCGGGTTTCATGAGGTCCAGGAGCTTGTCGAACGAGAGTCTGTGTTCGCTTTTCCAACCTCTCGGGCGTTGAGCGGATGGTCGGTAAGTGTTTGCACTGCCCTGAGCCAGACGAGACAACTGGGGGGCTCGCCGTGAAAACCAGATCATCACAGACCCGCGGTACCACCTGCACTGAGTCCGGGGACGTTTGGAACTCACAGCCGGGGCAAACCGTGCAGCGTGACGATGGGCAGGGGTCGGCGGGGAAGGAGGTATGGAAAAGAGGGTCACAATAACCAAGTACGGCGTCTCGGACAGGCATCCAAGAGAGCCGCAAATACGCAGACTTGGCGAATACGGTCAAGTAAGGCCTCTCGACACAGACTGGGGACAGATGTTGGTCTTGGGGCAGGTTGAAGGGGCTGTCTGTGAGGGGCGAGCTGCCTCGACGTGTTGTCTCCATCTGCTTAACTTTTCCTATCCGCAGAGCCCGTCTTCGGTAGCCCTAAAGCCGTCGCAGTATCGGCGGCACCACTTGGGACAGCCATTCCGCTGATCGTCTGGGTAGTGGCAGCGCGGGTCGTCGTGTTAACGAGGTCGAAGCCCGATCTGACTTATCCGATTGAACCCCTCGACTAGAGAGAGACTGGGAGGTGTAGTGTTCTCTGGACAGTCTTGCTCTTGCTCTAATGGCAGCTGTAAGACGCCGGTGTAACGGGGCCCATGTATACTAGACGTAACGACGCAGAAGTCAAATAGTTTCCGAAGGGACCAGATGACGGTACCGAATCTATGCCGCGTAGCAAGGATAGGGATCAACCGAGTACTGCAGAGTACTAGAGAGTGACTATCGAGTGGGAATAGTGGTTTTTTTTTCTTTTGAGAGGATGGATATAAGAGTACATGAGTCTCGAACCAGCAACGGTGTCACGGACCGCACCACGACAGAGAAGGACATTCCCCGATGTCCGCCTATGGCACCCCGTCGGGATTCTCCCGACGAGGAGAGACTTCGTGGGGTAGCAATCGCTAATCCCGACGGACTACCACCGGCTAGGTCCCGCGGGTAAGTACCTAGTACCTCGGGACCCCGCCGGTCCTCCGTCGGGCCGTTGTTGCGGGTCTTCCTTACTAGAAAAGACTCATTCTCGAGGAAACGACTGAAATGGGCAGAATCCTGCTCTCGCGAACGAAATGGGCAGTAACGCTCTCGTCAGGTCCAGCAGGGTGTTGCAGGGTTCGAGCGTGCCTAGATCACGTGCAGGGTGTTGTAAACGCCGAGCTCGCCACCCGAACGTCGCTGCTCACCATCAGGTGTCTCACTTATGATACTTGTTTCATTCGCTCACTTTTCTACCTAGAACTGGAACCGATCGACCTGCGAGGCCTGCGAGGCCACCTTGCCCTCCGCCCAACGCTTCATCTTCTTACGGCCAGACCCGCTGCCTCTGAGTTTGGGCAACAGCTCATCCTCGTCGACACCCAACTCGGAGACCGCCGGCAAGGCGTGGAGAGGCATCAGTGTCTCGTAGACCGCTCTCCAGCCCTCAGTCGTGCAGAAAGGAGCCACCAGGGGCTCCAGGTCGGTCTGGCCGACCCTGGCATAGATCAAAACGGCCAGGGCGTGACGACAGAGTATACGGTGCTCGGCGTAGAACCCGCACTCACACTCACACCCTAGACTACTCGTGTCCTTGTCAACGCCGGCGTCGCTCTCCAGGCCGTCAGGGCCCAGGGCGTAGATGCGCACCTACCTCTCGGCTCGAGAATAGGGGCTCGTCACCTTGCCGATGATAGAGGGTGCCGTTGCCCATACAAAAGCCCGTTCTAGGTAGTTCAACGCCTCGTCAAGCTCCCTGGAGACCTCTTTCATGGCCCTCAGCGACACGGCACCCTTCTCAGCAGCCGCGGCCTTCTTCTGCTTCACAGCGTGGCGCAGGACCTTGTCTGGGAGACCATGGAGGAAGTCTACAACGGGCTTCTCGCGTAACTCGCCTATCCAGCTGTTGGTGGCCTCGACCGTGTTGGACGTCGTAGTGCCAAACCGGCCTGGAAAACTGAAGAATGGGAGGGCCCAGCTGCTAAAGGGACCTATGCCGTTGATGTATTCGCAGACCTCGGCGTCGTAGAGGGTCAACCCCTTGTTGTAAACAGCCATGAACTCGGTTTCAGTGCGGGCGTGCACCAGTCTCTCGAAGAACCTCGTGATCGCTGCTCGCTTAAACCTCTTCTGCACGTTCTGTATGAGGTGCTGGCAGCAGTAGGAGTGCTTGGTACCCGGCAGAACACTGCTGATGGCGTTCAGGAGGCCTTTCTGGCGATCTGAGACGATTACACGATCAGGATCGTCGAGCAGAGGTATGTGTAATAAATCAAGCTCGTCACGCCTAACGGCTACGAGCAAAGACACCGACCACGTGCAAGGATCACGTCACGTGACCTTTTTAGCCCCCGAACGATAAGTCCGGTTCGGGCGATTATATGAGTGGGGTACTCGCGAGGGTATTACTCGCGAGTGGATCACTCGGCTAACCGTTTCCGGAAGAAGTGGCAGGTAGACGACATTCCCCACGGGATACGGGGCACAACTACGCAGCCCGTAAACGGCGCCGAGAACAGCGACGTACTACTCGCAAGTACTCGATAGTGGGGAGAGGAAAAGACCAAGTTCCGTCGGAGGACCGGCCCAGCCTCTTCCCGATGGAGGAGAGGGAACAGATATATAAAGGAGCCACCCCCAGGACCATCTCAAGTAACAAACTAGATTCGTAGATCTTGTAACTAGACTTCACTACTCGCTATCGACGGGCTCTAACTCCCGTACGCTCTCTGGTCACGGTTTCTGTGTCCGTATACGTTGACGGACACGGCGAGGTGTATGTGTCCGTTAGCGGACACGGAAATGTGATGGGTCCGCTAGCGGACACGGTAACGTGTACGATAGCGGTAGCGATAGCGGCAACACAGATTGTGGAATGCGTGCCTGGTGGAGTTGTGGAATGTGGGTGTAGGCGTGTACGGTAGTGCTAGCGTTGACGTATACGCTGGCGTTCACGTAGGCGTAGGCGTAGGCGTGGACGTAGCCGTACGCATGGGAGGATACAGGTGGAGTTGGTCAGGCGCCGGTACGGTGCATGACACTCTGTCTCCGCCAGGCCCCAGCTGAGGACGTTCAGATGATTGTCACCGTCAAGGGTACATGCTAGGGAGATCGTGAGGCGGTGTTGGCCTGTAGAATGGCAGCCGTCGACGGCCACGACCGGTTTACAACGACGAGCAACTTCAGGTGCGCTTGAGAGTGAAACAACGACTTTGAGACCGTCCTTCTCTGCAAGTCCGTTCAGGTCTGCAGCCCTCAGGAGCTCCAGGTAATGGTCCAGCTGCTTCCATTGGCGGTTGTGCTCAGCAACAGTGGCCTTACGTTGACGTCCACGCGCTCTCTGGGTCGTATGAAGGGGAGGCTTGTAAGATAGGTGTTTAGAGAGGGTGTCGGCGATGGCCGTCGATTTCTGGCCAGTTTGCGCGCCTGTATGCAGTGCATCCACCGCCTGATCCATCAGGGCACGTCGGGAGACGCCATGATAAGCGGGCTGAGCCATCACAGTGCACGTATGATCGCTGCAGAGCTTAGTGCAGCGATACGGCTCTGATCTCGAGTCTCTCGACATGACGACCCTAAAGGGGCACAAAGTGCCACATTCGGCTTTGGCGTTCTTGACGGCGTCCTCAGCAACTTTGAGGGCAGCGCTATTGGGCTGCTGGAGAGCCTTGAGTTGTCGGAGCTCAAGCCGGGCCTTCTCGGCGGCCTTCCTCTTGTTGTAGGTGGTGATACAGATGGAGACAAGTCGGAGCGGTTTTGAGGTCTCATGCCTGACGCACGCTTGGGTACCACTGGCTTGGTTGCAGAGTGGCTCGACGGCGAAGTGGGCCTTCTCCTTCCCTGCGAACGCGGCCCCCTCGTAGAGAGGAAGCTCCAGGCGAGCCCGAACGACAGCCTGAGGCTCTGGCATGGTGGAGAGATGGATGGGTAGATGGCTCACCTGAGACATCGATGGTGAGCAGCGGTGTTTGGGTAGCGAGCAACGTGTCTCACCCTGAAATCACGTGACTTGCAGCGGGCCCAGGCCCTGCAACACCCTGTTGGACCCTGACAAGAGTGTTACTGCCCATTTCGTTCGCGGATTCTTGCCCATTTCAGTCGTTTCCTCCTCATCCTCCCGTTCGCAAGCATGAAGGCTCTTGTCCCCTGGGTCGCCTAGGATAAGACGCGTCTGAGAAGACTGACGCACTTTCACTCTACACATGCCTCACGTTCCCCTTTGTCAGACCCTGCCCGAGCGTAGGTCGCGAGGGCACGAGATCGAATAGTGGAGATACCAGTTGAGTCAAAGACTACGAGCTAGCTCTGTGTAGAAGACAATGAATATTCATCGACGAGGAGGCAACCGTGCCTCCTCTACTCTATGTATGCTACGTAGACTGCACCCTTGCGCCCCAACCGTGGTGCGAGGTTAGGAGGGGGTCTGCGGGTAGCCGCAGCCCCCCCCGTTCGGGTTCCCGTCTGCCATACGGGTACCCGCGCACCCGTTGTGTAGTTCCCTATTGGGCGGGTCTCGTTATTGACGGGTTCCGTCGGCCGTTCGTCCGACGAGCCCTGTTCGTAACGACGCTGGGAGGTCTGCGGGTAGCCGCAGACCTCCTGTTACGGTTATGATGTCACGTGACTAGCCCGTAGGTGCAGGTCATGACACCCTTGGTCTCTCTCCCGTGGAGAGCCCCTTTCTCTTACCGTGCAGTTGATCAGTCCGTTATCATTCCCTGGTTGTTGATTGTCCTCCTCTTCATGGAAACGCTGTACTGAACGCTCTGGCAGACAGTTTCCACCCCGTGGAAATTTGCCACGGTGGCCCCCAGCGCACCTGTTTCCACACAACCGAAACTCCCATACAAAGCGGTCTGGCAGACAGTTTCCACCCCGTGGAAACTTCCCACAGTGCCTCTCAGTCCGTCGGTCTGTGATGAGTGCTCATCTCTCGCTCTCTTAGCCATGTGACCACTCTTCCTAGGTTTCCCGCACCCGGATCCTCCACAACGGTGTTTCAGAGCAAAGACAGTTGTTACAACATGGTCCAGATCTCCCATGGTGGCAAGACAAATTCCACGCGCGGGCGAGGGATCGGAGACACCCTCCCGCAGTTTCGACGTTTCCCACGGTCCAGCTGTCCCAGGACTCATATCCCACATGGCCCAGATCTCCCACGGTGGCAAGGCGAATTCCACGCGCGGGCGAGGGATCGGAGACACCCTCCCGCAGTTTCGACGTTTCCCACGGTCCACCTGTCCCAGGACTCAGATCCCAC